TAAATAAAATAAATCAAATAAATAAAATAAATCAAATAAATCAAATAAATAAAATAAATCAAATAAATTAAATAAATTAAATAAATAAATAAATAAATAAATAAATAAATTTCTTTCAAGAAATTAAAAAAAATATCGACTGCTATTTAAAAATAAAATAAATAAATATCGATTATTATTTAAAAATAAAATAAATAAATATCGACTATTATTTAAAAATAAAATAAATAAGTATCGACTATTATTTAAGGATAAAATAAATAGATATCGATTATTATTTAAGGATAAAATAAATAAATATCGATTTTAAATCGAAAATAAATTAAAAAAATATTAAATAAAAAATACCAAAAATTATTACGTAATAAACTTTTACGCATATTAAATAATATACTATAAGCAATTATAGTTATTATATATTTTATTTATAAATTTATATCCTTTTAACGCCGTCGCTAAATAAATATTATATTATGCCTAATATAAATACCGAAATACCCTTATTATAATACTTTAAATGCAAAAAAAAAACGCAAAAAATAATCGAAAAAAGCAATAATAAAAATCAAACCTATAAACTTAAATTTAATAAATCTGCTTTTTACTATTTAAATTTATTACTTTTATTATTTTTTTTCTCCTTTTTTAAATTATCTAACTCGGGAATTTGAGCGCGAAATTTCGAAACCTTATATAAAGCGATAAATTAAAAATAAATAATAACGGCAGCTATTTAGTTAAAGTTAAAATCGATATTAAATAAGTCCTAAAATTATTATTTATTTATATTAGCTTTTTTTTATTTAATTTCGGGATTAGCAAATATTCGCTAGATAAAATAGCTTTTATCGCGTTTAAAAAAAAGGTAAATTATTTTAATATTAATAAAATAAAGGTTAAAAATATATAGTGTAAGGAAATATACCGCGGTTAAAATAATCGCTATATTTATAATTATTATACTTTTAGCCAAAAGCGTAACTAGCCTTTTTTTTTTATAGCGTTTAAATCGTATTAAATAAGCAATATATAAATAAAAATATTATATTAATCGTATATAAAAATATATATAATATTATCGGCTTTTAAAATTTTAAGGCGGAGGATTATAATTCGGCAAATATTAAACTTTTTTTTAAATATATTAAGCTCGGTCTTTTTTTTACGAGCTAGCGTACGCATATTTTTGTAAAATTCTGCTTTAAATTAAATTCGGGTGCGATTCGGGTGCAAAAAAATAATAAATAAATTTACTAATAAGCTTTTAATCGTCGGTATTAAAAAAAGCACTAATAATTACGGAAGCCTAATTAAAATCGTAAATAATTTTAAAATATTTTTTTAAATTATTCGGGTTCGAATATATAACGTTTTATTTCGAATTAATATTATATAAAATATAATTATAGCTAAAATGCAAATTTATATTATAGCAAAGCATATTAGGTTCGATTTTATAACGATAATAAATTTTATTAATTTTAATAATAACTTTTTTTTTTATATAATAAAATATTAGCAGCTACGCGATCGGGCGCGCGAGCGCCCTAAATAATCGCGCGATAATATATAAATTTGCTTCGTCGACGTCGTAAAAAAGGAGGTTACCGCGTTTAAAATAGCCGTTATCGGCGTTAAAATATTATTAATATTCGGGCTATATTAATATATATTAGCTAATAAATTAATTTTAAATCGATTTTAAATTTATACCGTATTTTTATAAATTCGGCGTATTATTATAACGGTTTACGAATAATTTTTAAAAAATTTGCTAAATATTATAATAAGCGTTAATTAAAAATTATATTTTATTTAATTTTAGCATAAAATCGTAAAAAGATTAAAATTTTTACCCCGCTAAAACTTTTAATACCGCGTTTATTTATTAAAATTAAATATATTATTTCTATTATTTTTTTTTATAAAACGTTTTATATTATAAAAAAAAAACTTATCGATATTATTTCTTTTTTTTAAGGCTATATATCGATATTATTTTTAATTACTTAAAACTGCGAATTAATATTATTTTTAATTTTTTAAAGCTAAAAGTCGATATTATTTTTAATTCGTTATAGCTAAAAATCGATATTATTTTTAATTTTAAAAAGCTAAAAATTAATATTACTTTTATTTTTAAAAGGTTAAAAATCAATATTATCTTTTATTTTACAAAGCTAAAAATCGATATTATTTTTTATTTTATAAGGCTAAAAATCGATACTATTTTTTTTTTTACGGCTAAAAATCAATATTATTACTAAATCCATATAAAAAGGAAATACAGGTAGCGGTGGCCCCGCAGGTACCCTTAGGTTATCTTTTGGATTTTAAAATTGTGGGGAAATTCTTAGGTCACCTAAGGGGGGGTACCCTCAGTTTGTCATATTCTCCGGAGCATTACACTTGATCCCAGCTAGGGGGCCAACAGAGTACCACGTCGGCTGCTTAGCAATGAATAAGCAGGAATCTCAATGGCTAATAATTTTTGTTCATTGTGCATTTGCCAATTGAAATTTGTAATGGCTCAAAAAATGCTTCATCGTGTAGTATTTGCTAATAGATTTTGTAATGGGCTTGCATCGCTTTAAATTAGGTACCCATCATTGAACTGAACAACCGGGCTGTACTGTTGGAGAACGCTGGTGCATCCCACCGTTGGTCAACTGGAAACTGTCGCGCATCAAGCAAATGCCCCTCCGTTTTCTGGGCAGCGGATGTCAAAAAACAGTGAACAACGCTGCAGACTGGTGCAAAATAATCATTTTCTTGTCCATGGCGATACTACCTAAAACATGACAGTCCGAACAAAAGAAATCTGAGAATTGCAATCCCAAGTAGCTATTGTCGAGTCTCCTCAATGCTAGCTCGAATACTCTCTTTGACCCTCATTATTTCATACGTTCCCTAGGTCTCATCCTGCGAGAAATTTCAATTTTTTCTCCCCGAAATGTAAATTCTCTGAAATTTTCCTCACCTCACCACCCACCAAGGGGAATGTGGGCGGGAGCTCTGCCGTGAATCCTCGTAATGACCCACCATCAATTCACCCATCAACGAGGTGCCCCCCATTGCCTGGCTTCATCGCCGAGGCCTGAAGGCTGAACTAGTGGGCTTGACTCATCATTTGTCGTCCCATAGCCTCGAGGAACACTCGACTCTTCGTACCTCGCTAGATCTCGGGGTAACCTGACCTCACCGTCGTCGGCGTTAATCATGTGACCAAACTCTCCAGCTCCGATACGCTGCACGCCAGCCCCTGTTTGGCCGACATTTACGCCGCGATCGAGTCCAGAATAGCCATTGCCCGTACCAATACGAGCCCGGACCAGCACAATGTATGTCAGCTATACACAAAGAAATTAGGTGTCATGTAAACAACGTTACTATGCGGATAGGCACCTACCTGGATGGCGCCAACGACAACGGCCACCGCAAACCCAAGGCTCGAGCTACGCTGCATGGCTCTGCCCCATGGACCTACACATGGTGTAAGTCTATGGTAGGTGCTCCCGCAAAGTGTCGTATCTGTCCCGCGATGCGGCTCTGACATGTCCCTCAGCGAAAGGAAGCCGCAGCAATCAAACGCGTCCTGGATCCTCTGGATAGATTGTGAATCGTGGTTACGCCAGAGCTGTTGCCATCGATTGTGCAGACTACAGTCGAGGCCTGGCCCTGTAAGAAGGCCTTCAGCATACAAAGTTGAGAGGACCACGGTAATAATGGCTTGCAAAATTTGCAGCGTGAGGTGAGCGTAGGCGGCCAACCAGGTATGCTTCCACGCAGGGGCTATTCTTTCTAGAATACGAGGCAGGAAAAAGTTTGCCATCGCCAGCATTGGCAGAAGCAGAGTCACCAGCCGGGTGCCTAGCGAAATGGGCAGGGATACATGACTTGAGTTGACCAAGCCGAATCTGCGAGCACTTTTGTGAGCTTGGCGCCAGTGTCCGCGAAATTTGATCAAAACGGATGCCGTCAAATCATTCATTCTTACATGGAAATTGCAAGCAAGGTTGACAACAGCTAGAATAAGGTATTGGTGAGATTTCCATTTCGGTGACATAGACTGGAGCAGGTGACGTACCAAGGGTACAAACACCACGAAGTTGAATATTCGGGCCATCTTGGAGAGAAATATCGTAAATTGAGGAGGCTGGGAGAGAGGTCACCAGAGTACCTGTGTTGAGCGATGGAATGCTCAAAATTTGGTTTCCAAAGCTTGCTGCCCCAAGAGCCAAGTACAGAAAATATATTGGCACGAGTGTGGTGAGTGTTGCAAAGGATAGCAGGAAATCTCCTGGAGTTATTGTCGTATTAAAAGAAAATCAATGAAATCTCCTCTCTCACCAGCTTTCACCAAGTCGTCTCGCAATTGGGCATGGTCATTGAGGGGTTGACGCAAGTTAGATAACCCGTCTCTCTACGATTGGCTACGCGGCTACGAATGTCTGTGGGAGGCCCACCACTCATGACTTTTTTTTGCTTCTTTTTACTGCTCTTCAAATATGCTCCAGTGTCAGAGCATCGCCTAATAGCTTTTCATGCGCAAGGCTAAAAAAGCAAGGGGGGAAAGTCTCTGTCCACATACAAATGCAGTACAAGTGTCATGTCGCGTCAGGCCAAATTCTTCATCGCAACCCCTGCTTTGCGCGCCAACATCGGAGTTCTGGTCTAGTAGATATCTGAATTGGCGGTGGTTGGGAGGTGGGATGTAATAGCCATCATATATATACTATTGCGACATCAAACCTTAATTATAAAATTAAGCCGGTAATAGGGTTTCAGCCTCAAGGAGCCTCAATCTATTGGCCCAAAGACTGGTTCAGCCTGGTGTACCCTCGACGCATCGGCCTAAAGGATCCCCTTTGCCTAGAATCAACGACCAAAGTCTGGCCGAGACGTTTTTACAGTTGGAACGTTTGGCCACTCAAGACCAGATACATTGACGCCCCTGTTGGGCATGAAGTGGAACGACACTTCTTCGCCAGATGGAACCAGACAAATCAATCAGGACGAGTTGCTACTTGGCCAGTACGTAAGAGAAGGGAAAAGCCGTAGTAATATTAATATTGAAATGTGTTCATGGTGAAAAGGGCATAATACCAGCATTCTCCCGTCGTGGATCGGGTCAGCTGAACTTCCGGCCACGCGAAAACAGGCGTGTACCATTCTAGCTCGTAAGAAGTGCGTCGAGTCACACATCTATTCACGAGGTCTTTCACGCCCGAACTCTAGAAGTCTGATGCCCGTTGAGAGGGAAACATGCGGACGTTCTCGAACCTTGTGTATCAGATGACCAAAGAGTCTGCAGTAGAGAAGCCGCGTCTGGAGAAGAAACGCCCTCACAATCTTTAGGTACTTGCGTCACTGTGGTGAAAGTCGACAAAGGATAGCCGGGGGACTTGCCTGCTGCCTCTGTAGTACGATCTATTCAAACAGCTCGCCGTACTACTCGACCAAAGCTGACTTTGTTCGCTGCGTATTGTTTCTAAGAATTCATACCGGGCCCTGCTGGGCTCTTGCAACCTCTAACTATCCGAGAGCCTTAAGGTGTTTCTCCCTGGCAATTGAGAGGCTCATTGCCTCTATACGTACGGGCCTACTGATCTCCTTCTCGATTAACCACAGTACAATTAGGTTTCATGTTACTTTTTGCCATGCTTCACTTCCTGAGGTATCACCGGCCTGGTCTGGGGGTGTCGATTAACTTCTCAACAAGCCATCGTAGTTGCGGTCAAATTTTCCCATTTGACTTTGCTTTTTTAATTATAAAAGAGCATTCTACCTGCTACAATTCCATCTGCTGTTCCTTTTCTTTCCAGCCCGCTATTTATTCGTAGTTCTTGGATATCATAGAAAGACACTCTAATAAGCGCTCGTAAGTATTTTCTCTATTACTCAATATTATCCTGAAAGCTATGAAGATATTGTAATTTCCTCTCTGCTTTCTCTCACAACTATTCTTTTATCTTTATATTCCTCTGTCGACTCCCTTCTATCGAGATTCAGCCCTTGATCTCCACATATTGTTACCCATATACTTCATTCCTTCCCTATTTTGAATGGTCAAGTTCTATACCCAGATGGTCGTGGTTCTTTAGCACGTAGTCCCAGAGTCTCCCCGTTACTAAGTGTTAAATGCTTTACCAGACAACCATGGCTCAATCAGAGGCCACCATTACCCCCTCCGATAGCTCGGAGACCTTAGAGGATCGCCTGATGCGCGAGCTGCTTGCGGCTGGATATGGCTCCAGCCCTGACACTGGCTCCAGCCCTGACACTATAAATCCTGCCATGCTGGATATTCGTCATCAGCACCAACAGGCGGATGAACAGGAGGGGCAAGGGCGGCAGCTGCAACAGCAGGAGCAGCAGGAGCAGCAGGAGCAGCAGGAGCAGCAGGAGCAGCAGGAACAACAACAACGTAAGTACTTCTATTGATCCATTCACTATTTTGTTTTTATAACAATTTAAACATTCCAATTATCCGTCTGCAGACTATAATAAAATCGCTTATCCATACCTTTCCTTTCTAGAACAAGAGCAGCAACAACAGCAAGCGCAAGCTCAGCAGAACCACTTGCCAGCGGGGCGACTACGGCAACACCGGTGGTTTGCGCACAACCACCGGCAGCGTAGACAAAGGCTGCTAGAGGAGCTGCAGCAGCAGCAGCCCCAGCAGCAACAACAACAACCACGTAAGTAATTGTTTTTATCACTTCTCTTCTTTATTTCCATTCATCTTTTTCCACCTGGCCTAGTATGGTTTCTCTAACCTATGGTATTCTTGCTGTTGATAGTCTTGCGTAAGAACGGCCAGCCACGCTTGAATCCCGAAAGGAAGGTCAGCGACCTTGTGGCGGGCGCTTGCAAGACCTGCCGCAAGAGCAGGACAAAATGTCAGCGCAATCCTCATGGCGGCCCTTGTCAACTCTGCGTCAAGAGAGGCAGGGAGTGTGACCTAAACGTCACAGATAAGCGCACCAGCGCGGCGGAAATAAGCGACTTCCGCGCTGATGTCGCTTATTACCATATGAGAATCTCACGGCGGTGGAGTATCACCTCTGCTCTGGGCAACGGCCAAAATAGACAGGCCGCTGCTATTTGCAGAAGGATACTCCAGATTCTCCCAAATTTTGACGAGGCCTATGCCTCGATTGCTGCTAACAGCGAGGCCGCATCGGCTTTGTCAAACTGGGACCAAGAGATCCTCAGCTGGGATCTCATAAGAGATGCCCAAGCATTCTTGGAGCTCTGCCGTCGGGAGTATCAATTGCTGTCGAGGATTCGCGCTTCGCGGAGGGAGTTTGTGGAAGCTGCAGCTGCTCTAGAAGAGCAGCTAGAGCAGCTCATTCAAGCTGGTTGTGCGAACCAGGAAATGTGGGAAGCGGTAAGTCGATAACAACATTCTTCCTGTTACACTTTGACTAAAAGCTTAGTAGGCGCCGTAAGGCTTGATGAGTTGGTTATCAAAGTAGGTATAACCAGCCACAGTTTAGAAACCCTACCAAGAAAGCCTAACAAAAATCAATGTCTGTTCGAGACGCTTGGGACACTTGGTTGTTCTGTATAAGTACCTGGAAATAGAATACCCATATATACCCATTAGAGTGATAAGGAGGGAATAATGTACTGCATTTCATGGCTTTGCCGAACAAGATGCTCAGAGCTCGGAGATTACGAGACATTTGTGATATTAGTAATATATCGATCATCAATGAGCAACTAGCATGACTGGATTCGAATAATACGCCAGTCAGGATAGTGATTGGACAGAAGACCTTTTGTATCCTGTCTTGACTCACACGTCTCGCTATCATTTGACATGATCTTCATCTAGTACACCGTTGCAACTTTTATCGCATATGTCCTCCCCTGAGTCGGAAGAGTTGTAACTGCCATGTCATCTTGAATCGCATAATAGTCAGTTCTCAGCTAAACGCGTTGATCCCACTTCTGCAGGAGAGATGTTCCTTTACAAGAAGAGGGATGACCACAGGGTATTCTCACCTGGACCGATGTGATAGGGAGGGAAGGACTGAGGGAAGGTAAGAAAGATATCTGGGTGGTTCCTATGTATAAACAAAAGACAAGTAGGAGAGACCTAGTCAATATATCAGAGCAGGTGATCTGCGGCGGTTACTGATTACGCCAGAGAACAAGCTATATGGAATTCTGAGAAGGAGCAGACGCAATGCATCAAAAATTTACCAACTTCTCGACAGCTGCGTAGAGACAAAAAGAGTGAGAGCTCTGCAGGTAACGCATGTTTCAGTGGGGTTGTATTGTACCAAACTGACCGGCCTCCCGATTAAAACTTTCTTGAGCTGCTTCGCAAGACAAATTGAAATGAGAAATATTCGTTCTCCTTGTGGCCGAGGACAAGCTATGGAGGATAGCAGCCTCTCGGGGATTTTCCAAAGACTAGCGTCTGAAATCCCGAATTGGTACACCTCTCTGCAGACAATGAGAATGACTGTCATGATAGAACGAGATTATATGTGAGTCATTAATTGGCAACTAGTGAATACCATGAATGACACAGCAGGCTATGAGCACATACGGGTATATCCATGTGTCGTACTGACTTAGTCAATACCCACCGCAGATCATCTGCGTGGGTATATATAGTCGCTCTTCAGCACCTCTCTTTTGCAGACTAGAGATCAACTGAGACATCTTTTCAATGCTTCCTCGATCATCTCGTCTTCAGTTGCGCCTTCACATACCGACTCAGGTGAGACCATGGTCGGCACGAAGTCATAGTACAGAAAGCTGGGCTTCGATTGCAATCAGCAATATGATGTGAGCGAAGATGTCTTTCAAAGACGTCTTAGATTATTCTTCTTGGTCTACAAAAAATAAGGCACTGGAAGCAATCGAAATGAACTAAAGGACTGGAGTGTCTGTGGTAAAGGCCATTTATTTCTATGTTACAATACATTTTCTTCTCCCTCTCCCCATTACTGCTTACGAAAGTCCAACTCCCAAAAGCTCACACTATCATCCCAGAACAGTTATCGTCAAGCCCCGCGATATTTCTATCCGCCTAGGCTTTGAAGGCCATATGCTGGTCTCGCACTGCTGCAAGAGCCATGGCCTTACCTCCTTGGCAGCGCAACAAGAAATCCCTGGCCACAGGCGCCCGGCAAGCAAGGAGCGATCTTTCGGTCAGGATCCGTCCTAACCTTTCCGTTTTTCCTAATTATAGAATTGTGACTTAGATGCGCATGTTTCTTACATCAATGACAAGTAGGTAGCTCCTCTAATCAGATCCTCCTACGACCGTGCAACATCGTAATATTTCATGGTAACATGGTCTTGGATGCTATTTCAAAATGGAGGAGGGACAGAATTGAGTATTCAAACTGACTTACGCAGTTGTGGCTGCTTCCTTTGGTATTGCCGTTCTCCTTGCAATCGTCGCTGCTGTCGATGCTGTCGATGTTGTGCTCGCAAGTTTTGCTCTCGCGGCAGCTGTGATTGATGCTGCAGCTGCTAAGCAGCGGCTAGATGCAGAACTTGCTGCTCATCTTTAGAAAAGAAAAGAAATATGGTCAAGCGATTTTATTATAGTCTCCAGAGGGATAAGTGGAAAGCATAAACTGTTATAGAAATGAATTATAGGAAGAATCAGTAGCGCTACTTACTTGATTTCTTTTTTTGCTCCTGCCGTGGGCGCCGCACGTCGTGGTGGAAGAAATAGAATGCTTTGTCAAAACTATGGACGCTGTAATTGCGGACAACTTAGGGAATAAGTGACGATGGAGAGAACATCAAAGCAGCCGAGCCAGATCGGTGGGCTATCGCGGGGATCTGTATCCACGCGACAGGAGAGAATGCGAAAAAAAGACGAAATTGATTGAGAATGTGACCTTTTCAGCGGAAATAGTGCCTTCAATATTGTTCAAAATTTATGCGACAAAAGAAGTCGTGGGAATGAATGAATTGGTGCATTCTGATGAGTCAAGTGCTTCGTTGAGAAAGCTGGTGAAAGATGGATGTAGGATGGTAGAGTAGAGGGTGGACGTCTTGGAAGAAGAAAAGATGGAAGTCTGGGGAGCAAAAGGAAAAAAGGAAGAGGTGAGGAGGAGTGGGGATTTGTTTACACAGTACCCAAGCGTACTGTTCAACAGACAAGAAACAACGATGGTTGTGTGTTGTTGTTGTTATTATTGTTGTAACGAGTGAAGGGGAATCCCCCCTTCCCCCATATTGCTGGCTCCATTTGTAGGGACAATTATACAAATGGGAAAGATCTCTGCAGAGAACATCCCAATCGGGTAGTACAGCCTTGAGGGTGACCGTCTGGGGCTATATGGGCAATCATTAGAGGCGGAAAGAACAACATGAATTCTCCGGTCTTTCAAACTGTCGACACTACCTCAAAGTCTCCGGAATGTAGGCGGCAGTTTCAAGGAGCTCTCTTCCCTTTTCCGACACATCATCCTACCCGAGAGTGAAAGTACGTTGAGTTCACACCTTCTACCTCGTCGTCATCAAGCACATAGGAGCGAATCATGCAGCTATTTCCGCTTGAACGCCAACATGCTGGAACACAAATACGGCGTTGAATAAAACAAAATGAACGGCATTCCAAAGTTAATGACCAGTTTGCAGTTGTGGCGTTTGATTGCCTCGCCATCGAATGATCGCTGCTGCGCCAGCTACACATTGCGGTGGCGGGACGGTTTCGCACCTGGGAGGAACTTGCAGTTGCGGGAATTGCCTGTAGTCCTTTCTCTCCAGCAGATGTCTCCGTGTCAAGAGGCATTTGACTAGGCAGTGACTATCTACTAGGTAGGTTCACTCGACTTGTTTGCCCCAGCGGCGTCATGACTCTTTCTCATTTCACCCTCACCATGCCATCATTGCTGTGTTATGCTTTGAACAGACTAGAACCCAGACTCGACAAGAGACTTGTAATATATGACTGTACCCATACTTCTTCATCTACGATTCGTCTCGTCCTCTTGCATAGTGGAGAATTTGACAACATCAACTTATCCATCCACTACAGACAGGCCTGAGTGACAACGGCCTTCCACGATTTGTTGAAACTATCGAGCAAATACATTGTCGCGATGCGGTGGCACGCAATACTACTTCCCTAAGAGGCCGGCGATAGTGTGGTACTTCCAGTTCCATCTTAACTGCCATCATCGCCTTAGCCATGTGATTTGGACTCACAGTACGTCTTGCCTTTCTCCAGTCGTTCCGAAGTCATCCTTCCATCCCCACTTCTTTGGCCTCCAATCAAGAAGCCCTTCGCGTGGTTTCCTTTGTCAACACCATACTGAGCCTGAACGTGCCAAACACGCCCAGCAGCTTAGGACCTTTACTGCGAAAGTGGGTCGTGACTCGCTCTCAATGGTGGCAACAGCAAGAACAAATTGCTTAGTGTCTTCGCACTTTCTAAAATGGCTGTCGATGTCAACAAGTTGCGTCATGCTACGATAGCCTGGACTGAGGAAGATTGTTTATAAATACCCAGGCTCTGCCACCCCTTTCAACTCTCCAATCTTTATTCAAAACATTCACCTCATCCCCCATCAACTATGCGCTTTACTCGTGCACACATCCACGCATTGTTCATTGTCTTTACTCTATTACTACATCAGCTACTTGGGCAAAATCTTTCACAGCATCATCTCATAAGACGCAAAGTCGAACATTGCGTTATTGGTTTATACAGCAGGTGTCGTCGCATGAAGGCCAAATGCGTCCGGCCTAATGGGGGCGGCACTTGTGAGCGTTGTTTAAGAAGGGGAGCAATTTGCATACAGCCCGGTACGGACCGCCGTACAACCCATACGGAAGTCGACGCCTCCCAAAAGGATTACAATGTCTGGACCAGCAATTCCATCTGCTATTGCTTTTCTTTCCAGTCCGCTATTCATTCGAAGCTCTCATATAGTAAGAAGACACTGTCCTAAGTGCTCGTAAGTATTTCCATCATTACTCAATACCACCCCAAAAGCTCTCAAGATCTTGCAATTTTTCTTCTTTCTTGTTTTCTTTATCCCCTTTCATATCCAAAAAGCTACATCCATCGCCATCTTTCATACTCGTTCCATACACCTAGATATTAATTCTGTGCTCCCTTCCCTTTTTATATTCACTTAACCACCTCCCTCGTCGTCTCATATACACATTCTCTTTACCTACATACCTACTCTATGCTCCCATCCCGTACATACAGCAACATGCTCTGCATCTCCTTTCATGCCATCATATTTCTGCAGTCTAAGTCTGAAGTTTCAGTCTTGCCATCCCACATATATAGAACGGTACCAAGCCCTAACGTCTGAAGACTTTTAAAGACTATCAAACATGGCCTACCCTTTGGACCATTTCCCCCACCTTAATGGGGCCCCTCCCACGGTCCACCCCGTGATCTCTGGATCTCAAAACGATAGATCCTCATTGACGGATGAGAACGTCGATTGGGACCAGTTATTGCTGAGATTCCAGGATGATGTGGACGAGCAAACGTGGGCTGCGGACACCTCAGCTATCGGCGAGGCCCAGTCCCAGTCGGAACACCCAGCCGGCAGCCCTGGGCCAGAATTGGATCTTATTGGGGCTGGTGATCTGGCACCCTTGCTTAAGTTCCTAAATGAGCCAGTGCTGCCCGTTCCGCTGCCGTCACCACAGCCGCAGCAAGATCAGGAAGACGAACCATTGCTGCTCGTGCCGCCACCACAGCAGCAGCAAGACGAGGAAGAGGATGATTGTAAGTGATTTCATATTTGCTTTCGTTATTTACTTTTATTGATTCGGTTCCCCTTCTGTATTGTCTATTCATGGTCCTTCTAATCTATGGTATATCGCAGTCGGCTATCGCAAAGATGGCAAGAAGCGGACGTCACATCGCCAAGTCGGACCTTGTGTCTAAGTTTTCAGACACGTTGCTGCTCGACATGAGCAGGACGAAAGAGATATCGTTACATCTCATCCGCGACAACAACGTAAGTAGTCAATCTCACCATTCTTCCGTTTCTATTTTTTTTTTTTGTTCCGCTCAGAAGCTTTTCTATCCTAATCCCTAGCATGGCTTGTCTGACCCATGATTTGTGTTGCTTCCAGAATGAAGCGACATCGTCAACCAACGCTGCGCCAACAAGAGTGTCATCTGTGACCAAGACATCAGCAATTTCTGGATCCGCTAGTCACCAACAGCTCCAACTGGAAGACGAACAAAAGGACCAACAACAAAGACGTAAGTGACTTCAAATGCTTTTCATTTTTCCATTCATTTCATCTCCGTCCGCTGTATCAATCATTATATTAACTCGATATTGTTTCTCTTTCAATAGCCATGTGCGAGGCTGACTCCTATGAGAATCTGATCCGAGATTTCGGTAGCAACAAGAATATGGGAAACGGGATAGTAGATAGCCAGTAGATAGCCAGTAGATATCATACAACTCAGACACTTTTCTCAACCTTCTTGTTCACATCTGTGACATGTGCAATGTTACGTCAGTACGGAAAGTCTGATTGATCCACTGTGAGATTAGCATCAACTAAACAAAGTAATATTGTATTCTGATCTTTCAAGGGATATGTATCAATACACAAAACTCTTTGCACTTGGATTACGCAGCGAACTTGCTCAGACATCCCGAGAAAGTCGAGATTGCAAGAAGAAGCCATGGCGTAAGTCAACGCTAAGTGTCAGAAGAAGAAATGTGGTAGCAAAATTGGTTGCCTTGCAGTTGAATTCGTTACAAGCCATTTTAAATAAGACATGTTGCTGTGTTTAGCATAGTGATTTTGAATTTGATGTAGGCGAGCTATCACGCAGGTTCAGATTGATCTTCTCATAAGAATTGTGAAAGAAAAAAGATTCCACCCTTGTCTTTAGTCTCGCAGTACACGGGAGTCGTGGGCGGCGAGAGAACGCCAATGACAATGAAATCCATTTGGCCTTGCGTCTCCGGCTTCTTTCCTGATGGGGAGTGCTTTCAAGGGAACATGATTCGCTGAGAAGGACCACCGGTCTCCTGGGATGTTGCACTCTGAGTGTGCTAAGGGCTTTTTGGATTGCACCAAATTGACGAGGACTGTTCATGTCCTGGATGAATTGTCATTGTCACCGTTTTTGGCCATTTAGTGTCGCGCTCCGTCCGAGTACATTACATTAGTCTCCGTAGTCCTCAACGGCGGTATAGCTGCCCCCCTTCCCAACCAGCTCCTTGAAGGTGCTTGGTAGTATAACAGCCTATTGACGAATCCGTCAGGAGCATCACTTCAAAACCGAAAATTATGCAGTAAATTGATGTACTGCCCAATCATTGTCGCAAGAGTTTTGATGGGATTGCCGCGCGCCGGGCGTGCAGGTCAAGGCTAGCAGTGGTTTTGCGCCGGATGCCATATTTTGGGTTTCGGGTTTCGACATGACATGGATCTTGCCGCAGAAGATGGAGCTCTGGCTACCAGCCCTCGACGGAACAGTAAATACAATGGGACACACTTTCGTACTAGGGTCGGTCGACATCTTCCGATAATCGATAGAGTATTGCCATCTTCTAGTATCTTTCTATCGCATGTGAACAATCGGCGCCCTGCCAAGACCGCATGAACATCCACGGATGAGCGGCGTCTGCTACTAGCTAGTAGCTTGGACAAGGGGTCAGCGTCGGGTGACTTCAGGGTACAAGATGTACTGAAGACACGGCCCCCATCAGTGATTTTCAAGGGTATTTTTAGTACACTACAGGGACTTTTTAGCGTGCGTAAGCACTTTAAGTACACAAATACTTTCCACTCCAAGTCATTTCGTATGGATGCACCGCGGCAAGAGAATCAACCCAGAATGATGTGATCATACCACCGGACCACAGAGTCAAGAAGTCAACCCCGTACGGCGATATTCCTCCATATGGCGATATGTTCGTCACAAATGGCGGCTACGACTCGCTTCAACGTGCCTCGAATAATGCGACTCCCTGGGTCATGACCGGCACGACAGAAGAAAACCTTAGCTCGAGACGACTGCGAGTGGGCTGGACTTGGTGCGAGTCTGGGAGCGAGCTATGCCTCCATTGAGGAGATTCAGGAGGCCGTCGATGATATCTGTCAAACGGCAGGTACAAGAAAAAGTCGACGGAGATCCAAACCGAGATTGTTTGATCCGGTCGGTGTTGTCATTTATGCTTCTCAAAGCCAAGGAGCAACGGCGTGGAGGTGAGTGATTGTACGAGATGTCAACGTGACACTGTGACTAGGAAAATCGCTCTATTTCGCTCGAAACCACTTCATTAAAATTCTTGACATGTTACTTTAGACAGTTTACTCGCATCTTGTGTAAAATCCTCCATTACAGCACTGGGATACGCCTCAGTACAGCACAACAATGTCTGGCCGGGAGTCTCTCTATTCTTGGCTGTTCGCATGACAATCCATATATCTTCTTTTCTTCCTGGTAGTGAGGCATCTTCAATCGCTCAGTGCTTGGCAGCCTCCTTCTTCTTCCCCTCGGCATCAACAAGGGCATCAAAGCGGCGGAAAGACATGACGCCGTCAAAAAAGGGCGAGGCGGCCCAGAGCCACCAGACCTTGCCGGGCGCGACGCGGTGCTTCTCGAGCCGCGTAGTCGCCATCCACCAACACTCGGTAACGTGCAGGACAAAGACGGGGACGAAAATAGCCTTGACCAGCCAGCGGAAGCCGACGGGGCCGTAGGGGAAGAAGGCGTCCAACGCGTCCCAGGCGGGGGTGTCGGGCTGCACGAGGGGAAGGGCCGCGGCGCAGATAAAGTAGAGCACAACGCCAAAGAAGACGACCCAGTCAAAGCCTTGTGGTGGCGTGTACGAGCTGACGCGAATGTCGCTCAGGTTGAGCTTGTTCAGGGCCGTGCCAGCCATTTCGACGAGGCGGACGCGGGAGGCGGACCAGTTGGCCAGCGGTGGCTCAATGGCCACGGTGTGGGTCCCCGACGCCGACTTGACCGTCATGCCCTCGAGCGACATGTCGGTGATCTGGGCGCCGGCGGCTGCCGACGACGAAAGGCCATTGAAGGCGCGCAGGTAGAGTTCCAGCTCGCCGCCGTGGTCCTTGTTCATGTGCGTGACGACGCGCGCTTTGATGGCGGCCTCTTTGGCGGCAGCGGCAGCGGCCTCGTCAGCCATGTTGAAGCGCAGCGGGGTCTTGAGCTGGGAGCAAGAGGTTTTCAAAAAAAGCGAGGAAGCGATGGCTCCGACAAAAGAGACTTAAGAGGCGAAATGTGGTATCCTTAATCAATTGACGATGTCGCTTTTTTGTCGGTATTTCAATGACAAGCTGAATGCTGTTTTGTATTCCGCATCGGCGCTCTGAACTCCAGAGGATCCACTAAACCTGTCCCGCACATGAGCGGGTCGAGGCCTTTGCCGGAGAACATTGATAATCGCACGCCCTAGGTGTCGCCGCCGATGCCGAGGCCAACGATTCAACATTGCAATATCGCCATCCATATTTGTCCCGGGGAACAAATTTTTGCGCACAATCATACTAATGGATTACAAGCTACTCTCCTCTCAAACTACTTGAAGTGGTATGTCCAAAGTTGGTCCCTTGAGCCGCATGCTGAGTGCATTCCACATGTCATCCATTCGTCTGTCCTTATTCACTCTCATACCTTGAGATACAATCTTGATCTATTTGATCTAGGCCTTCCCATGCGCTGACGTCCAATCAAGCAGCACCCTTCCTTCAGGTTATTCTCAGGCTGTGTTTCTCCACTTCAAACCTTGATCCATACTCCAACAAGGTGATGGCCATTCTTGTGCTTGAAGAATACGGCAATGTGACCCTCCTTGTTGTCGCATTCCACTGTCGTCGCAGCTGGGTCCCAGTCCCACCATATCTGGGGGATAAGCAAAGGCTGCTTAACGAACAGGGCACCAGTAGCAACGTTGTCGGGCATCTGGTAGCGCCTGCGCATGGTAGTCTCCTCAGGTCCTAGGAGGTTGAAGAGTACAGGGATGCAGCCTCTGGTCCAGTCTACCATGTATTCTTCAACTACGTTACAGACACGCTCTGCTGCTGACTTCTCGGGTCGGCCCGAGTCATACTGAGCGGCGCGCAGAGCCTCAGTCTTCAGAAGCCGAGCTAGATCTGAGGGGATCGCAGCCTTTAGACTACCTGCCTCCTTGTTCTTCATGCCAATGACAAGCCCCCCAGAGACTTGCGTCATATTTCGAGTGACTATGTCCATGATGTCAATATTGAGAGTGGAACTAACATTGATGAGGGAATTTGTCTTACAGTACAGTCTGTTATGTATGGTGTATAGCTGCTGGCGAGTAACGTGCTTGGCCGCGTACCCCCGTACGGAGAGTAGGATATCTTGACTGGCAGCGGCAACTCGGTCTGTTTGATTGTAGTAGTGACCCAATCCTTGTTATCAAGGTCGTTGTCCGCTTCATTACTGATCCATTTAGTCCATTCTGATTATGGTCCTTGAATATCACGGCTGTGCCGTGTGGAGTAGGGTTGACAATAGTGTTTTGCGGGGTCCAAGTCTTGAAGGCTCGAGGCATGGTCTCGGGATGTCTTTGAAAGATAAGATAGCACCATGTCCAGTCAGGCACTCCTTTGGCAGTGCGGATCTGCTGCTCCTCGTTGGGCAGAATATTGATGAGGACACTGTGATTGCGGTAGAAGTACAAGCAACTATTGATATGGTCCTGGACCGTACGGCCGTATGCCCGACCGGCCTTTGCGGCATTTGCTAGGCGTTTCGCAAGCATGGAGGGGATCGCTGCGCTCACTACTCGTTCGTTGGGAGAAGAGATGACATCGTTCTCGGGTAGGAACATGATTCCATCGTTGGTGGGATGGATGTTGCGCATGTCTGGTCAGAAAGTATTAGCAACATCGGTGAGACGAGGCAAGAAAAAAAAGACCTACGCAAGGGAATCAGGCTATTGAGATCGACAAGCTGCTCTGACTTTGCATCCCTACCCAGTAGCTGGGCGTACATGAATCACTGAGCTTCGTGAGGCATTGCGCGATTGATTGAGTTTGTGGGTGGCGTTTGCATCGGCAGGCTTGATGAATTGATGCAAGGTGGAAAAGAAGTAGAAGAAGGGAGAACAAAATATCTGGGAACTAAGCACACATTTATAGAAAAGAAATCTGGTCCCCCACCACATTGCTGATTCCGCATCACGAGCTCGAGTCTTGGTGTTGAGCTAATCTTCTAACCAGGTAACCAGAGGCGCTTAATGAGCTGGCCAATGAGAACGCTTTATAATATCCGTCACCTCGACCAAAGCGCCGAATCAAGCTTGGTGTCATTCATTCTGCCCGTCTAGGGCTGATCTGGATGGAAAGAAGACAAACGGCTCGTCACACCGGCCTGGCCACGTCCGCTTGTTCACATCCGCCTGGGTACGACTCGCTGGATTGTCTGCTAGAGGGCACCCGCCTTTATATCTTCATTATCTCGATCTGGCTTGATGACTTGGGGCTTCGTTCTCCCCTTCTGTGTCACACAGTCAAGCAAACATGCTGCCAAATCCTGTATGGTGGCCTTCTCTCTTGTCATTGTACATAGTTTGTGATTTGGTGTTTTGTCCCATTGTAAATGAAAATGTCACATTTGCAATATGTCTCCTATCACCAATATCGTCATATAAGCAATATCTTTATAATTTGTGGTTATTTGAGAGATAATGTCATGCATTCATGTACTTGTGATTGCTCATCAATGGATATTGTAATACAAATATGAAGATTGAGTCATTCCAGCGCATGCGAGAACTTTTCCATCGATGTGCCGTGGTCTGTGTACTTCCTCCACTAGTCGATCTTCCTTCATCTTGGGCGTATCACTGTACGCACAATGCGCCAAGCTGCTTACAGAAATCACAAACTGCTATGAAGTCGACTCGGCCAGCAAACAGTCATGTTTGATCTACTAAGGTAGTGCTGTCGATTCCCAATCATCAAGCAAGTAAAGAGAGAAAGGCAAAGAAGAAGATGTCAGTTATAAGTTGAAGGATTCAATAAAACGATCCATGAGAAAGAGCCTGATCAGAAGTGGTTTCTGCCTGGCTGAGAAGCTTGGCGATTTATTTTAGTTCAAGGTCTTGCGCCTCGCCTGCGAGCTGCGAATTAAAGGAATCTACCTGCGTTTGATTGGACTAGATGTAGAGGTGAGATAGCAGGATCATGCAACTAGGTTAAGCTGGGCACTTGATTACACTAAAATAGGATTCCGTGCATCGGACTGGTCAGCATTCCTGCAGGTACATACGAGAGCCTTGTATCATATGGAAGTCAGCCCTAAACAGTGTGAATCGGACATATAAGGCATGACTTTATCGAAATTCATTCTCGCTGGTCGTCTACGTTTTTGTTGGAGTTTCTGTGGTTCCCTTCACACCAGCCTCAGCGGCCTGCCAGCGCCTTTAATCAGCAAGATGGACTACTACAGCGACCTCGAAGTGCGAACCGATCCTCAGCATGACCCTGAGCAAAGGCAATACGCAGGGACAGCGCCGCTGGCGCAGGAGCAAAAAGCGATTATGCCGGACGAGGATCTTCGTGCAAGTGCCCCAAAAATATACGTGCCGGATCCAACGCGAGCCCCGGAGCCTGTGTATCCTGATCAACACTTGGATGAAAGCGGGCATATTTATAAAGAAGTTGCGCCGGGGGAAGAAAGAGTGACATCCGAGACTGGCATCCTCAAGCGAAAAGTCTGGGGTTTGCCGCGGCGCAGATTCTTTACAATTCTAGCAGTCGTGTGTTTTGCTATCCTTGGCATCGTCGCTGGTGTGGTCGGCGGCGTGCTATCTCGTCGGCATCAGTCGTCTGACAAACCGCCGTCGGAGACGCCAACCACCGCGTCAAACAGTTCCGCGTCGGCCCAGGCCATCAACGTGATGGACATCTCTTCGCTGGCCGCGGCGAATTGGACAGATGCACATGGCATCACGCATCGGTCTGTCTTCTTCCAAGATCCGTGTAAGTGACAGTCACAATCTAGATCCGGACTTTCTTGGGTTCTTTGGATGATTTAAAAGTTGTACAAGCAAATTGAGCAACTCAAAAGAAGACTGTGAATCATGAAAAAGCTGCGAGTGATGACTCAAGCTATAATCCATGTGCTCCATGCGCGCCAGGATTTCGAGAGACTCAAGGCTCGGTTTTTCGTCATAAACTTTATACCAACTAAACTAAATACGTTGAATGCTAACGTCGTTTCTTATCAAGTTAATGCTGTTATCACACGACGCTGGGACGCAGTAAATCAAACATGGGCGACTGACAACCTGACGGATATTATTTCACGCAGATCGACCTTGCTGTTCCCGGCGCCAGGCACGCCTCTAACGGTCGCAGCTCTCGATCGGCCGAATAATTATAGCATGCCAGAATCGATGCATCTATATTTCGGAACTCCGGATAACCAGGTAATGGATGTGGTAACAGAAGATCCTCTAGGAGACCCGAGCAATTGGTACAACGGGCCCTACGTGGGAAAAGCCAAAGTATCGTTCCTGCCCGGGTCGCGGATGGCGGCGATTTGGCGGCGCTCTGCCAACGGCTCCAACGGCGATTATGGCATCGCGTATCAGGCAAACGACGGAATCCGCGTCCTGAACAGCACAGACTGGTATCATGGCCATCTCGCGCTCTCACGTGGACAAGTTCTCGGCAACGCCACATTGACGTTCCTGCCGCAGTACTACATGGACAACCTTGTTGGGCTCAGTCTCATTAGCCAAACGTTCAAGAGCGAAGCGCCGGCGGGCGTGATCTCAGTGACGACCTACAACAAGACGTGGTCCTTGGAAAGTAAGTCATCGATTCTCCAGCCGAATGATGAGTTTCTGCGACGCGAGCTTCAATGTGGGATTCTCATCTCCGGGCAGAAGCCAAACAGGACTCGAATATATCGGCAGCTAACTCGGCGTTTCTCCCATTATAGCAACCGAGATTATAGACGAACTGGAGGGAGATCGCAACGATCAAAAAGTCATAGCTACCAAGTGGGGAAGCTGGTCCAGGAACCTATGCTACGTCTTGAACAAGGACGGGGCGATGAAGGGAGCCTGGTGGGACGGCATGAAGAATGCGACCGTCCATAAGTTGCCTTCTATCACGATTGAGGGCGGTCCGGCTACAACTAACTTCTCTGCCGTTGCCTTTACGCTGGATGCCACGTTTTACGGCATCACGGGCGATGAGATACACGAATATTCGGTCGACAGCTCGAACGCGGCGTTATTACATCATACGGGGAGAGTGTATCCACAGTGACGGAATCTGGTGCCGTCCGCTTCCGGGTCAGGTCTGACAATGATATGGTGACCCGTGGTTTCTGAGCCGACATACCCTGACTTAACGTCTTGTTCTGTAACATGTCAAGGATATGTTGTTTTCGGGGTTATCATGGGAGTGAGAGAGATTCCAAGGCACTTGAGGTAAGCCTTTTCAAGTAAGGCCCGACAAGGAGATAAGATTCATGTTGTGCGAGCTTTTGTCATGAAGCAATACATTGCAAGAGGGTGATACCCAGTCGTGCTGAAGGGATGAGCGACCCCGTCTTTCGAGCACGAGTTGTGCCATGATTTGTCGAACCCGTCTTGGACGGCCTCCCGCCTCTCTATCCTCAACCCCATAACTCTTCTCTCATCTACTATAGAGGGGTTTCATACTTAACCTACAAAGGAGAGACGCTAAAGAGCAAACTATATATTCGAACAGGTGATCTGCGGTGGGTCCTGACTGCGTCAGTGCAACAAATATTTTTCTTTATCGCCGAGGGTGAAGGTGGATAAAAGGTGAGGCAGTCCAACATATCGACTTCGGTAGGCACTTACAATTCAGCAGAGCTGAGAAGCAATGTTATTGATCTGGATTTTGACTGGAATCTATGCTCCATCAAAGGAGCTTCGCGGTCACGTGATATGCTTTTTTTTTAATCGCTTCAAAATGATATGCTGTTCTGTTGGCTCTCAATTGAGTTTAGAAAGCATCGAGGGTGATGAATCGCAGGAGGAGAATTGCTTCAACAATGGAACGTCTATACGTAATAACTCTCACTGAGCTGAATCGGGGCCCAAAAGGCACAAAGCAAGCTCTTTTTCGTTATATTGAATGGACGTCTTATCATGCCCACCTGGCAAAGAACCCAGTAGAAATGCTACATATTTTCCTTGTTTCATTGTATCTCCCATCAGTCTAGAGTTGACGTAGCAGAAATCCATCATTCTGTTGGCTTTGGAAGAGCCTAGTAGGATCATATCTCTCTGCCGTGTCCCGCAAGAGTTGTACATTCTCTGCTCCTTAGCTGCCCAGCGCTTTCTGCGAGGCGTGGGCAAGGTTCAAACATTGGAATGACAAAATTAATCCACTTTCCGAGGCAAGCTTGTGCGCTTTCTCCGTGATATCAGCACGTGCCTTGTTGACATCTGTGTCATGCTCATCTGAAAGCCACTCAGCAGTGAAGACAAACCCTAATAAGACATTAGTCTAGAATCAAACGGATATCATTTCATTTCGAAATTTGACTTACAGCATTGTGGAACTTTCTCCAGTCCCAGAATATTTCCACCATGATCTTGGCCTGCTTGCACGCAGGCAGTACCAATAGGCTGGATAGTGAAGTGCAAATCAACACTCTCAGCAAGGCCGCTGACCCTATCCTGCCATGATCGGTGGATATCTGCATACAAATCATAAGAGGCTTTGGCGCTCAAGGTGGTGACTGCACGTCTGAAAAATGTCAATACAGCCTCGCTTTGCGAAGGATATGGAACACGGACTTTCCGTCATCCGGTGGATGGAATTTATCCAAAGTTTGCACGAGCGATGCCAATGTGCCATTTGTCGTCGAAAGCATCGTCTGCAATAGGCTTGGAAGCGACAGGAAGCTGTCAAAGGTATCCGATTTCCCCAGTGGCTGGTCTGCGTAAAGCAATCCTACTCTCACCACACCTCTGCGAGAGTTGACGAACAGCCCGATGTTCGGATCGGACTCCATGGCCGTTTGAACATCGAGAGTTGCTTTGATCAAATTCTCGAGGTTGGCTGCATTCTATATGTTGATTGCGTATTGGATATTGAGCAGGGGATAGGTGATAATATCGAACGGGACGTCATAATATTTAAGTATACGGATTAATACTATGATATTTAGATAAATATACAGGACCTCCCGGGGATTAGCCGGGGCCACCCAAATAAGCGTACACCTCATCAAAACTAGAGGCGCAGAACATAGATCAATAAATCACACAATTAACACCCATATCAGACCAGTTTAAACTCCAATAAGAAAGCACCACCTTGATTAACAGCTAGTTTTGCTTCTTTTTTTGTGGCACGATTTAGACCTCGGTAGGGCCTGGCATAGCATCCCGATCTACAACCTTGGCCACCGCGATTTGTGGCCAACAATCGCAACCTAATTATGGATAAGAATTATGCACGCAATTAGTCAGCCCATCATAAAATCACCCGGAATATCATTCTCCCATTCCCGTGCATTCAGGCAACCTTTTTATCGTGATATGATATGGATAAATCAGCCCATAAATGCGATCCGTGTCGGTCTTTTTGCATTTGTATACTTATTTTCCGATCGGATCTACCATCGCAGGCACAATGGACGTTCAATCCCTTCCCACAGAACTACTTACAAGAATTTTCTCTCACGTGCAAAATGCCGACGACCGCCGTAAGGATATCAAACACTGTCGCCTGGTTTCACGATGTTTCAATAATGTCTCCTCGCCATTCTTGATTGACAAGGTCGTTGTTCGCCTTACCTTGGAATCGTTCGATAATTTAGAAAGGATTTGCAACCATCCCGTTTTCAACAAAAGCGTGCGAGTCGTGGCAATAAACTTATCTTACTACGAGACCGAATTAGCATATAATAGGCAATTATATATGCAAGAGGCGGCCGGCAGGCTTTTGCGACACGTCGAAACTTATGAACGCCTCAGACAATACCGCAGAAGATATCCCATGACAAATGAACGATTCCATTGGTTGCAAAAAATGGCCTGGAGACAAAGTCGTGAACTTGACCGACTACTCAGTGGCTCGATAGATGAGGCATCTTTGACACCGATCGAGAAGCTATATTCCAAAGCACACGAACTGTACCAACAGAAACACCAGAACCAGCAGGATCTTCGCCAAAATGAAGAACATATCAGCCGCCTATGTGCCGCTTTGTGTTCGCTGTCCAATCTTGTATCTTTGGAACTTGACGACACTAATGCCTGGGGCTCGGATGTACTAGACCCTGCTGATTTGCTCGACACCGGATTCGACCGCGATCTATTGCGGCATTTCGATTCTGCACTACGCAAGTCTACTTGGTGTGGATCTTTTCAAACAAAGGATACGGCAACTCCACCTGTTGAGATGCTTGTAATTTCATGCTCTCAGCTTGGAGAAAAGGGGCTCAGGCCTAAAATCATGAGTTTATCTTTGACGCCACCTCCGGACATGCGAATCTGGCAACTATCATCAGCTCAGCAGGCCGGAGTCAAGCATCTTGTTTCTCAGAGTTCGGACTTGACAATGCAGGTACATTTCGCTACACGTGATCATTCTCGCCGGGCAAACCCCAGGGCTGAAATGCTTTCACTTTGCTCTATTACCCAACCATATTTCAGCGCACCCAACCTCGAGCATTTGCATATTTGTTTCAAGGAATATACTTCCTGCTCTGTAACACCAACTGTATCTCTAGGCGATATTTTGCCTTTGCAGACTTCATGGCCACTGCTCCACACGGTACATTTATGGTGGCAACCCGCCACCGTCACAGAGTTGGAATTATTGGTTTCTCGACAGTCGGAGACTATTCGCCACTTTTTCTGGTTTTCTCCTTGGCTTTTGGAAGGGAGATGGTCCGATGCAGTTGAGATCTTACGTGGTTTCCAACGTTTGGAAAAATTCAGTCTGGAGTACCCAAATGGCGATCCCAATACTTCATCTTTTAAATGGCCTAAAGTCGAAGTCGGAAAATACGTTCTGCGAGAAATTAATGAAAATCCTGCAAGGTGAATATCACCCACCGGTTATATGCATTTGTTTCTTGTCTCTTTTAGATAATCGTCACTTATTTATATGTGTCGAAGGTTTTGTGGAGAAGGTGGCTCGAGTTAATCCTTTGTCTTAAAGACCTTTCACTCCGCTAATCCTCCTTTTTTTATCTAATTATTATATGCAGTTAAAATTATCGTTGATTAAGGTGATACTTTCCTATTGGAGTTTAAACTGGTCTGATATGGGTGTCAATTGTGTGATGTATTGATCTGTGTTCTGCGCCTCTTAGTTTTGATGAGGTGTACGCTTATTTGGGTGGCCCCGGCTAATCCCCGGGAGGTCCCGTATATCTATCTAAATACCATGGTGTTGATCCGTATGCTCAAGCACACCCCAGTGTATGGGAACTATAACCCACCATCTGACAAATATATACCATTACCCCATATCGAACCGCGTGACAATGCTTATTTTAAAACAAAATTCAGCTCTAGTTAATGGTAGACTGTAAAGTGAGGGACATGACATACCAAAGTTGGAGCCACCCCCTTTCAGAGAACGGAAAAGATCTTGATTAGTGTCCCGATTAGCATTTACATTGTGCCATCCGCCAGAACAACCTGAGAATGCTTGGTGAGCTTCAAAATGAAAATCTGGGTGCCTTGGACCACTTACTTCGAAGTTCGTCGCTCCATCTACACCGACGCCATGCAAATTCGGAAACGGGCCTAAGCCGCCTATGATTGCCTGCAATCAGACATCGATTACAGGGATGAGGGAGGATAGTTTGCTAGGATGTTACCTCCAAGGAAGAATCCACTGATCCCAACAGCTGACTCTCGACCACCCATGGCTGAGCGTTGTCTTTCCTCCAACCAAGCATACACCTTACCCCAGGTGTTGCCGGCTCTAGCCTGGAGTGTACCGTCCTCAGCCAATGTCAAGGACGTCAAGCCGCTGAGGTCAATGACGATGCCACTTTGGTCGACATTGCTATATCCTGGGTTGGGATTGTGTCCAGTTGCTCGAATAGCAAATTTGCACCCGCTCTGATTGATGATCGTCAGTGCTTTGGCGACTTCCTCTGTAGTAGTGGGCCGGACGTAGGCCGCCGCCGGAGTCCAACATGTCGAGCACCTGCAAAACGGAGATTGACTAGTGCACCAATTGTCACAATTGAGTAGCAAACGTCCAACCTACCAAGAGCGAGATTGCTCAACTTTGTGCTCTGTCGCATTCTCTGGAGTGATGACTCGTCCTGGAAGAGCGTCTTGGAGTAGTTTAGTCGCAGCCGAAGCTTGACTAGCGATACCTGACTGATTGCTCATGGTGAGGAATAATGCAGGGGCCAATTGAATGGAGTCAAGTCATGAGAGAAGTGAAGAGCTCAGATGTCAAACTTTTTGGTGATGTCAAGAACTAATATCTGCTTGTTGATTGCCTACAATGAAGGAAGAATGAGACAGAGAGATGTTCCACAAGCAACGTCTGAGACGGGTGCTGAATCATACATTCAGCCATGATTATACGGCCTCCCTCACGTCGCATTGGCACCGTGCATTGTCACCAACTGCTGAAGGGCAGTGGATGAATATGCAACGCTGGCCATAACGCTCGACGTGCAGATCAATTTCCATCCTCTTAATGAAACGCAGTCAATTGCATACAATCGTTCCAACAATCAACATGCAGGTCCTGTATTAGTGCTTATCTGATATCCTCGGTGTACTGTTTGTGCCAGGCTACAAATAACTGCACGCCCCCTACAAAAGCCCTGCTCAGCGGGTAAGGCTGTCGGTTTTTGCTTCCCTAAACAGGTATCGCTTAGGGCCCTAGGTACATGTATCATCCATGTAGAATTCAAGGGACCAAATAAGCGGCAATCAGGCATATATGACTGCATGCTCAGAGCAATGAAAGAGGGAATTCAAACTCATTATGTGACCTCCAGCCTTTGTCATGTTGATCTGCACGCATTGGCACTCACAATTTTGTCCAATGAAGTTGAAAAACTAGTTATTAGCAACAGAAGTAATGTCAACAGGACCTTCTGGGTCAGATCATGCCAAGAAGAACCATACGACATATTCACCCAAGCAGCTGATAATCGTGTGCTAAAGCAACAAAGGCAATCAAGTGGCACCTGCGCAACTCATAAAGTCGGCCATCCGAATCGTACATTTTACAAATGGGTACGCAGCACATCAGCTGATCACATATCCTGTCCATTTGCATTCATTTTCTTCAATTGCCTCGTTACGAAGCCTCTGGAGAATGGCGTGCTTGACTCTGTGGAAACAGCGTACGTCGCTGAAGATCTCTATCGGCATCTAGCCACGCTCTACCGCATGTACAACGATTGGGGGTCCATTGAGAGAGACCGCGACGAAATCAATCTCAATTCTGTCGACTGCCCAGGGTTCTAACCCCCTTCTCGTGGTGATGGCCCATGCAAAATGGTGCAGGGCTTGAGACGGCATTCGCTGAGCTGGACGGACTGATGGGACCTTGTGGGTTGACTTGGTCTCTTAGGCTCTTCATCGGTGACAGACCTGTACGGTCAGATTTATGTGGAAAAGGATATTGCAACCCGGATGGTCTAAGGTAGAGACGACTTGGAGCACTGCTACGTGTCGATAGGACCAATGATGTCTTTCTTTTGTCTGCCTTCCATTATATGGACTCCGCGAATATATTCGTCTTCTGATTTCATCTCAGTATTCATTATGTAGATTAATTTTCTGGAAATACTATGGTGGCGACATTCCTGCTGGTGATTGGTAACTATGAATGTACCACTAGTATTTATTCCGAGATGGGGTATCATTGTGATTCTTAATGTATCTTTGCACATATCCATCCATCTCAATGCGCGTCTATCCGTAATAATCAGAACAGTCCATTACTATGCAGCTCTTATGCCATTCTCTCATCTTCCAAAGCTCGTTCAAGCGAATATGCATGGATGCTAAGACAATGAACAAATAATGCACAAAATTGCTACCCTACTCAGTTGTACAAAAGTTTAATCGTATAAATCAAAGTCACTTTGAGAATAAGAGACATTGCACCCGGTCCTTTATTGTTGCTCTTAGTCTCAGACAAACGCGGTTGCCCAGCCACGCACTATCACCACTTGGCAGGTCAACGCCAACCCGCGCGCTGGCGATGCGCAATCAGTACTCAGGTGGGGGATTATTTTTTTCTCTACAAATGCGGGCTCAATTCCTAAGCTTTTTTACTCTTCCTTTTTTCCCCTTGTCTAAGGCTTTTCATCACATGCACGAAGCCACCGTACAACCGCAATCGGGCAACCATTTCCCTTCCATTACAAGCCATCCAATATTCCCTTCACCTACTGAATATTCATCAGGTATTTGATTACTTCCCAAGCCAAGTACTCAGTGCATACACAACATTCGCAAAATGCCTCACATCACGCAGCGTTTCACCTACGCCCTTGAGTTGGGCAAAGATGCGGCATCAGACGAGCTGGTGCATGTGGACCATGTCGTCCCCCCAAGTAAGTTGCTCCTAACCCAACAGCACCGATACCTGTTGTGCGAGCTTTAACAATCACTTCCTTCTAGTGATGAGTAGTATTACTGCAATCAACGACGGCGTTGAATTCCTTCCCACTCCTGGTCTTGGTTATGCACCTACCATGCAGCCTGAGGTGTGCGTGATAGTACCCTTCACGCTTGCCAAGTGACTGGCAAAAGTCGCCGTTGATGCTAAGGTCGACAAAACCAACACACCTGGTCGTACAGTTGGGAACCAAGTCCGTGCTTGTCTGTGGGACTCTTGCGGTGAACACTGCGCTCTTTTTGATATACTTCCCCATGAGGAAGATAAGATTCGCTCCTCTAATGGAATACCTGACTGGATTCCCACCCCCGACATCTTTGAGGAGCACCCCGAGACCATGCCTCGAGTATTCAAGTCTTGGGCTCCCAAGTATACCATCGTCAATACGACCCTTGACGGAACGGCCGTGGCTGTCAAGGATTCCAAGCAGAACGGTCTCATTCGCTTCTGGATCAGCAGCGAGGAGAGCAGTGACGACGAGGGGCCCACAGCTTGCATTACAATGAAGCACTCGAACCAGCAGAAGAAGACTGAGTTCCAGCTTACAATCAATGTTTCTCCCTCTGCGTATGCCGTCATGGCCAGTACCAGATCTCAGCTGTGGCGAATCGACAGCAGCGCCTACGGTAAAGCTCAATCCCTCATTGCATCCAATTTTTCCACTTTGCTAACAATCAGTGTATAGCACGTCGCGCATGGACCAGATATGTGGTGGCCTTCTGATCGGTGCCCCGTGGAAGGCTCAACTCAAAGCCGCGATTCCGTCGGACCTGGCCCAGCATCTCAAGAACACTGCCACTCAAGCCGCTAGCTGTCCTCTCCCACGCGATAAGACGCCGGCAGAGCGTGTTCGTGATGCTGTCCGCAACAAGATAGTGAACTAGGCAAAGACCGCCGCCGTGCCCGTTCTAGTCAATCTTACCGAACCCCAGGAGACGGCCTTGCGTACTCGCTCCAATGCTCCAAACTACGCTTTTACGACTCCTCTATTCATCAAGTACCCGTCCCTTCTCCCCCCTGTTTGGGTGGACTGGGATCCGGCCACAACCACTGTCGAGCGCGACGCCCGTTGGGGATAGATTATTGTCGTTTTCAAGAACAAAAACGGGAAAGATTTGATTGGAGTCTGGTTCAAGTGTTGATTCAACACGCGACATGGGAACCATAGATTTTGTTGCAGCGATGAGCGCCTCTTTTTTGATTTTCGGGTGACGAGGAAGGTTGAGCAACATCAAGAGTTTGACACGGAGTTGGGCATAAACTCGTATGTTAATGTAAATGCACGAGTAGATTCCTGCCAAAATAGTTGTAGGGGGAAAAAAAGGTATTCGCAACACTAATAATAGATTTGTCTGATTTCCATTACCTCAATTGTGCATTAAGATCGCCTAGCATAAACTACCGTAGACCATCGGGATGGTGATATCTCTTTCCATAAATACGAGCTCAGTTCCTCTATTCTAGAGCAAAAGGGCAATGCCCTGTGCGTTCTTACTAACGCCGCTCATCTGAAGACCAAAGTGTTGTACCTGGCGCTTGGTTGTGGCATCCACAACCGCAATAGCAGCCTGCGTAGTGCCGTTGCCCGGGCTCAGAGCGTAGATAAACTTGCCACCAGCCTGGAGGTCCGTCAGTCCCGGGTCACCGTTGGCGGCAAGGTCAATCTCAGCGACAATGCTGGCATCGGTCAGAGACTGCTCCACCAGGCGATTCAGCGCCACATCCGTGACAAAGGCCGTGTTGGTGGCGGGGCTAATCGTTGACCAACACGTGGCCTTTTGACCCTGGATCTCAACCTTGTCCTGTAGAGTCGCGGCACCAGTACCGTCGACTTCGAGTATGACGCTGCCAAAGCCCGCATCGGTGACAAACAGGTTGGTGCTGTCGGGAATCTGGGTCGTGCCAAAGAGGGCGACGGTGCCGTTTGGCGATGTCATCGCCCCGTCGTGCTCCACCTGACCGTCGGTGACGGAAAAGGCGGCCAGAAATCCCGTCTTGTTCTGCGACGGATCGCCCTTGATGGTGGTGTACAATATGGATTCATCAGTGCTGAAGAATATCTGTGATACAGTGTTCAGCGGTCCGGTGGGAGGCATTGACTGCCCGAGTTCAAAGGAACGGAGATCGTCCATGGCGCCAATGCCCTCGGCAGAGTAGGAGGCACAGGAAACACCAGAACGGGTACCGCTGCATCCAACGCACACCTGGGAGGAGTTGAGAGAGGCGGCCACGGTAACAGGGAAGTCACCCGATACAACAGCTGGCTGGCCGATCATGGTGACTTTTGTTGGATCTTGCGCGTCAATCGAGAACATGGAAACACTGTTGGAGCCGGCATTGACTGCAAAAATGTACTACCAGAGATGTAAGTATTTTCGAGCTGCCAACATGGTCAACGCAAGGAAGATGTGCTCACATTTCCCGCAATAGTCAAAGCAGCTTGGCTAGAAAGTGCATCCGGTGCAGCCTTTTTGCCAGAATTAATGGTGTTGCCTCCCGATCCACCAGTAGATGTCAACCGTCCGAAACTGCATCCAGGGATCTTGCCATCTGCGCCGATAGGAAGGGCAACGACGCTATTGTTATAATCGTTGGTGATTGTGTACAGTGCTCGAGGTGGCGCCGGGCATGATTCCTCGGTACCGTACGGAAGAGCTGCTACGCTTAGGGCAAGCGAAGCCAGAGAGATTACGCGACTGAGGGACGACATCGTGCTCAAAGTCAGGCGGATAGAGATTAGGTATATAACGAAAGAATGACTGAAAAATGCAATGAGTTTTCTTCTGATGAATACCATTTGAACAGCGAAATCTAATTGATCTTATATGTGCACACTGCTGCCCCCCGGACAATTTCCACTTGAGCCGGCCCTGTATACTGGAAATGCTCTGACGCTATTCGGGAGGATCTCCCATGTTACCAAACTCCACAGTCCTCCACCGCCGTATACCAGCTAAAGTCAATGGTTTCCAACGCGATCAGCCTCGTCGTAGCCGCAGCGTGCAATAATGACACAAAATGGAGCCCCTGTGGGAGTAATATCTCGCGTCCCAATCCGGTTGACAAGATCAGAATTCCCCGATGCGGTAACGTCGATCTTACATGGGGGCTAAGCGCTAAGGTTGGCACTACTATAGTTTCAGAACTGCGACGCTGCCCATGGGGGAATGGGGGAGTGACGCCAAACCCTTTTCAGTAATTCTGATGACTCTACAAGCCTGGCTGAATCATCCAGGCTGCCCATCATAGGGTAGTACTGTGCCTCAAAGTCGTGGGATCGCTGTTCCACTCTATCCGTTTCTACTCTGTACTTGTCTTTAAGCAGAACTTCACCCTCAAGATCCAATGCTGAGGTGATCAGTTTTTCCTCAAATCGTATCCCTCCTAGTCATTGCGACATTTGTCGAAATACTTCCCCAAGCCTCAAGGTGCCAAGACAACGATCCAGGTACGCAGACTGCTACGAGCTCGGCACGCACACACCCGCACCATAGTACATACACTGAGGCCTGTCCTAGCTCTGGACCCCCCACCAACACTCGGCTGTTGAATCGGTATACTAGAAGCGACCATGAGCACCACAGTCTTCAAGTTCTTTCAGCCAAAGGGTGAGTCTGTGCATATGTCGCTTTGGCGTACCCTCTTCAAATATGTCTTGCATGGTTATCTGCTTACGCACACACCAATCCTAGAGCAGCGTCAGAATCCCACTGAGAAGAGGAAAGACCAGCTCCGCCGGGCTCAAAGGTACGCAACATGCACCTCTATCAGACCATTTCCCATTTGCTCATCATTGTGCCTCTAGGACATATCGTTCCCGTAAAGAAAAGTATACGCGCACTCTAGAGGCCGCTTTCGCGCGCGCACAGGCTCACGAGGAACTCTTGCTCAAAGAACGCGCGCGTCTGCGTGCCACTGTCCAGCGCCTAGTAGACACGCTGAACCAGAATGGCATACAACCACCAGAGGACTGTATACAATGCGATGAAGTATACAACCAGGACTACATGTGGGTAGGCAGTCCGACAGAGTCGTCGCCGTCCACTTCCCATGGCACCAATCTATCACCGCAGCAGATCAAGGAGTCTGTACACGCTGTTGCCGGTCTGACACCACAATCGGATACAACCCCGGAATCGTTCCAGGCGAGTTCGCCGATTGATGGGCACCTCGCCACGTCTATAGTCTCCCAGCATGGCACAACGCCCATTTGTGAGTTTGACGAGGTGGCTGTAGGTATGGATTTCATCTTGACGTGAGTAACATCTGTATCGATCGATAATCGGCATTCTTGACATCGCATTTTGAGATTAATCCGCTAACCCGCTTTCAATGAAAAAGGATTGAAAAGCCCTGTCGCGGCCACATACACGGCGACCCTCACAATCACGACGAGCCCGGCGGCCACGCCATCACCGCGACGGCCCAGCTATGCTCGCCAAATCACCGCGACCCACGCTGTCACTCCCCGCAGGCGACACCGCTGGCGGCAGACTCGGATGCCGACACCACGCGCGTCTCCTCGGCCGCTATCCTTGAGCGCTTGCGCAATCTGTCGCCGCTCCTCTGTACACCCGGCGAGTCGACGCCGATACAGTCATGGGATCTGATACGGCATCATCCGGGGTATGGGTTGCTGACGCAGAGGGATCTCTGGCTTTTAATTGAGAGGTTGGGTCCGTCTGTCAAATGTCACGGGTAAGCAGCCTACCTTTTTTTTTTTTTTTTTTTTGCATGCCCCCTTGTTTCCCCGCAAACTCAAAACATGGCGCTAATGTCGTAAAAAGCTACGGTGCCGTGATTGATGCAAACGTTTTCAATAATTTACTTTTTCAAATCACCACGGCGCACAAAAATCAAGCATAGTTGCCTGCGTAGCAGTGCCAGGGGGTAATTATCGCTGCAGATGTTCCGGAGCGTTCCGTCCACTTGGGACGAGCAGTCAAGAGATGATATCTTGATACTATAAACGAATTGCATGTATTAAATAAAAAGACGGCTCTGAATGTCTCCATCGAATAAGTTTATCTTTTCTGTTGACAAACGGTGTCAAATCAGCCAGAGAAAGGGGCATTGTATTGTGTCGCTGGAGGCCTTCCCACATTGGAATCTGAATGTAGGTTCCTCTGAATATACCAAAGCACCATTTGATGCGCCCGTGGGATGTCATTGCTCTCTGGTCCTAGATGGAACAAGCCTTGCCCTTGACGATGTTTTGCACCTTGGCGTCCAAGTCCTCATGCTTGGTGCCAATGTTGCTGAAATGGACATCTTAAGAATGAACATGCTGTATTTACACGGACAATCATCACCTCAGTGATCAATGTGAGCAACTATTTCACCAATGGGTGAAGGATTTAGTAAGCATTGGCGACACTAGTGAATCAGTTCAAGACCGTTCCAAGTCAACTTCAATTACTTTTGGCTCAGTACAGTTGACCTTGTCTATTGCACGCTCTTGGTATAGGGTCACATACATTTTACACTACATGTTTCCCGAAGAAATGTGATAGTCGCTACGTAGCGTTCGTGAGCAGCCAAGTCGCGCGGCCTGCCTTACCATAGTTCATAGCGGAGCAACAGGTTACCAGGGATCATCTTGATCTCGTTGCTGGCAAAGAACCGTTCTGGGCAAGCATACTTGCCCTGTTACGGCCCACTGATACCGCTGCCCGGTCTCCGGATATGCTGGATCCTCGCGCAACCGCGAATAGCGAAATCCGTCCAAGGTCTCGGGATCGGCGCGCCGGTTACGTGGGCGGCATCGGAGCTGTAGTGTTATACTCAATGTTCACTGACTACTACATCAACCCCGCAGAGGCTCTTTAAGCCCCAACACATGTCGTCACTTGCAAAAGGTGCATGCCCGTAATAATTTGTCCGCTACATGATTCTGTTGCAATATTATCCGCCCCGCTTTGTAAAAACAATGTCCCACGAATGGCATGGCATCTACAGCGTATAAAGCACACATCACTCCACATTTCACAGAAAGTTGCGTTCAAGACTATTTCCCGCATTCTGTATAAATAAGGAGTATAACGTTTGCCATTCGTATGACAGCTAGCGGCGCCATAATCTAATCTATACCAGGACAAACATAATTGCAGAATATTTCGCCGTATCACACTCAGCCATGACTTTGTGTCCGTGTATTAGCTTTACAAGAGTTTTATTGGCATCTCTTGTCCTCCTGAACAATGTGATTTCTACGTCTTTGAAGGATTCTGTTGAGGAGATTATACCCTTTAATTGGGAAAAGACCAAATACTTGTGAGACAAACCTATAGATAACGGAAAGTGTGACAATAAAGGATTGACTTTAAAATTCTAGGATAGCCTTTGGAGATTCCTACACTTTCATACAGGGCACCAATGGGTATCCAGGATTCTCCTTCATTGGCGATTACCGCTCTCCCGAAAACCTTGCATTCACGCCTCAAGAGCTCCTAACCACACAAATCAACCAGAACTACTATGGAACCTCCGCAGGTGGTCCGAATTGGGTCGAGTTCCTCAGTGGTTGTTCGCTGGAGAACGGGCTTTGGTTTCCGTCGCAATGCCAAGTGCAACTTTGGGATTTTGCATTTGCTGGTGCGGACTATTCAGCTGCATTCTTACCGGTTCATGCCGATTTTGTTACACCAATGGTGAACCAGATGATGCAATACTTGTCATATGCTGAGCCCGTGATCAGAGAGCATATGGATAAGTCTCGTGCACTCATCGCCATCTGGATCGGCATCAACGACGTGGGCGACGCTGCCAACGTGGTCGCCAACCAGACAGACATCAACGACATTGAGGCCCGATACGATGCAATCGTGTCAGCCATGTTCAATGAAAGCGTATCTTGGCTCCATGATGCTGGGTATCGGGACTTTCTCTTCGTGAATGTCCCGCCCCGAGATCGCGCCCCGGGCCGTCGATCCACCGATTTGCCAACCGCAGCCATGATTGAATCATGGAACTCGGCGCTCAATAGGCACCATGCGCAGTTTTCCGCGTCCCATCCTACCAGCAACAGCTTCGTATATGATTCGTATGCCTTCCTAAATCATGTCCTGGATAACTACTCGGACTATGGTTTTGAAAATGCCTCCGACTTTTGTGCTAATTACACCAACGCCACGGCTCTCACTAATCCCGAGGCTTTGGGGTGCAGACCGTTGAACACATATTTCTGGTTCAATTCCGGTCATATGTGAGTCATTTATTCTGTTCAAGAGTTTCGCTTTATATAACATTCTATAACTACCAAAACTAACTTGAAGTTAATCTTAGCTCCAGCCAAGCTCATCACATTTTGGCAGACGATGTAAACAGATTTCTATTAGAGAAGTCTGGGGACTATATTGTTCCTGTTCGATGTGCAGTTATTTTGGGAATCATAAGCTGTGTGAAAGTTAAGATGGTGCCTCGATGAGGTAAATGCGCAAGTGAAAATTTATTCCGTCATGGGCGGGCCCGCATTTCTTCTCGGGATCATCTGCGCAACGCTGAACACACAATGACACCGATGATTTCTGCCTGCATTTCTTGCTGTCGGCGATTTCTTCCAGACCAGAGCCTCTTTTGGAGTCATGGATGACCTGTCAAGAGGCTATCCATCCTGGTGTCATCACAGACGGCTTGATAAGTGCGGTGTGTTTCAAAGCCTAGCAAAGAGGTAATATATGGCTCAATTTGTATTTTGAGAGATCAATGGTAGAAGCTTATTCGGCTAGAAGAGCTTGTTTTATCACCAGCCGTGTTTCGTTCGCCCGAGCCTTAAGATACCGTCCTCGAGGAGGGCAGTAATTGGTGGGTCAGTTTTTCGAAGGCATTCATCTCCGCGGAAAGAAGTTAAATTCTTTGCTCCGCAATATAAATTAATGCCATACCAGTCTGGTTTCGTTCATTAGTGATGCAAAGAACTTTTTTCCACTTCTTTGTCGGAAGAAACATTACAAACCATCATACGGCTGTTCTGTCATCATGTGCCTTGAATATTTTTTATTCTTTGCAGCTGCAAGCCAAGTTCTCTCAAGACATCATCACTTGTATAATCCCCTTGACTATAGTTATCATACTGTGTTGCCTGTCGATAACAGCGAGTTGCAAGTGGCACCCACTACGTCTTACTTCTTGTCTTCATTTACCAGCAATTTGATCGATACAAGTGGCATCACCACCATCGCCACCATTGCCACTAGTTCGATTAGTACGACGATAGAGGCAACGACTCTGAGCTCAGCAACAGATATATCTCCTGTGCACAAAACCTTTGCTATTCAAAATTTGGCACGGGATCGGGAATTATTGTTGTCTTATGTGTCGCTACCGCTAGTTTTTGGAGAGTTCCCCTCGGCTTCCTTGAACGACAACACCACCTTGTTTACCTTGGACGACGAGGGCCGTCTTACCCACGTTCTGACTGGCCTTTTTGCCTATGGAAATAAGTTGATGGGTCTCAATTTCGGCGGCGACGAAGTGCCCATTGGTAATGTTGCTGGCGATGTTTGCAAATGCTCAATCGACCTCACGTCGCAGCTGACATGCACTTGCGGGGTGCAGAAACTGACAAAATTCTGCCTGAGCCCACTCTTCCTCCCATTTTTATTTCCATGCGACGAATCAGATATAGTGCCCATTTGGCCAGAGGTTACGCTTTATGCGTTTCCGACTGCGAGGATTCTTCCCTCCACAAGCCTTGCGACAACAAGCGCGCCGGTCGCCTCATCAACGCCGCCTCCTCCCATACCGGTCGGCGCCGAGCCCATGCAGCTTTTTGTTGGCCAGAATGTACAAGTGGTTATAATCGACCACGTGCCTTACTTGTTTGATAACTCAAACCTGATATTCGACAGAAGTTACACCAACTTTGCCTGGCAGTACGGTGAGGGGGCTTGGTATGTGGTCAGCACTCGCGAGGTGGCTGCTTACGACCCTTCTAGGAATGAGAGCTTGCAAGAAATCATGTTTCGCAACCCAGAGGAGATCCAGACGCTTGGTCTCCGTGTCAGCGTGTGTGAGGATTCAATGGTGGGCTTTGAGTGCAATGGCCGTGGCTTTTGCGTAGATCAGGACAAGAGATTGTACCTGTGCCAGTACGATGATCCCAGGGTAGTACAGGTATCCCAGTCTTTTCCAGATTAGTGAAATGATGCATATATGATATGAAGGAACCATACTGTTCAGTATATGCCCGCAGTTGCAATGCGTGCAAATAGATCTATCGCGCTTTGAATGTCTGTGAGCCTAGCTTCGTCATGTTCCTGGCTGAAGAGGTGGCTGTTGGCATGATGGAAATCACCATCTTTCCCTTGGGGACGGCGAAGTTGCTCAAATTCCCCTCTGAGGTGATGATCTGCACGCTCTTGTTGAGGGTACGCACCCTTACACTGGAAACAGACACGCCTTGACTAAATACCAGCGACAGTGATATGTGGTATATTGTCCAGGCTGAAAAGAATTACGATCTGTGACGCAGGAAGGCTACACGAGGATATCATGGAGACTCCCAATGGAGTGTTTGCACCTCACGCTGCATGTAACGCAGATACTGACAGCCAGTCGTGATTTGTGACAGCATTTTCCCGCAAATCAGCAGAGCATAAGTCAGCCAAACCGGGTAATCGGATCCCTACGACACAGCTTACCCCACATTCACCCACAGGCGTGTGGGTGCAACCCTAACCTTTGGTTTGCCTGCAAGGGATTTTAGGTTTCCGCGGGTAAAAGGTGTAGTTTTTATGGCCGTGCAAAGCTGGAACCAACAACCTACAAGGACTAATTATCCGATGCAATGTGTTATTACCCGCAGCCCCTGGCCTTGGTTTTGGTGATTCCCGCACCCGTGAACCGGGGGCAATCTGTTGTATTTATGACGACATTACATCATACTACTGCTGCGTCTATTATTTAGAATCTAAATGCACGATCCCTGAAAATCTGTTTCATCTGCCTCGAAAAACGGTAGAACAGCTTGTCTCCACGAATAGTCCATGAGGAATCTGCAGACCTATTGTATGTGATGTGCACTATTGCCATATACTTGGCAGTATTGATGTATGTCCGATGGTTGATATATCCCGCGCAATCAATATTAGATATGAGTTTCAATTAAACTTTATTGTTTTTGACCCTAATCAACTCTAAGACACAGTAAAGTGTGGGTACCTCTACCTCGTCCTGAATTTGTATGGTTTCATAGACGTCTTGGTCCTTAGATATTCGCTAGATTCTAGGGCACCTACGCGCGCTTTCCGACATTTTATATAGGGCATCATGAGTCGCAGTCCAGAACATTGCCTATGACACTTACATCAATGAAAACTGTCATTAGCATGGGCCATCGCAGGAACAAACCTCTGCAAGTATATATAGGATGAATAAGTTTGCTTTATATTCCTTGATACCTTTTCCAATGCAACTTCAGCCGCCACGCTAGTTTCAGGCAAAGCACCCCTTTCAAATCCATATTTGCGCATTTCTCGTTTCAAAACTTGCAGCTTGAAGGACGAAGGAAAATGTTATCAAATAATTTGGGCGCTGGTGAACTTGCGCCATGCTCAACAAGTGTCGCCGATGGCTGCTGTGACTTCAAGGCTTGTTGCATTGAAACACGGTATGCCCAAGCCGCCTTTGATACCGTCACAGCTAATGACGTCCTCGCCACACGGTTATTCGACCTCCCAGTCGACCAGCGTGATATTCGTGCATTGGGCACTAGGATTGGTAGAGCACGTGAATATCGCGACTTCCCTTCCATACTATCGTTTCCAAGAGGCGGGGCCCTGGTCAGCGCATTGATGGCATGGAGATGATTGATGACTCGGAGTACGAAGGAGACTTACCCGGCCATTCAATGTTCCGGTGACGTTGTGCATGAGAATGTTTGTCACATTGACCTGAGAGGGGTATTGTGCGCACTCAGTAGCGTTGATGCCGAAATAGCAGGAGTCGATCTGAGCCCCCATGTCGCTGTTCGCCAACCAGATGTTCCTGTATCAGTGATTAGCCGCACCGCTGCATCGTCATCAATTCACTTCTTCTCTTCTCCGTATCATGCCGGGCATGTCGTGGCCTACCGATATGTTACGTTGTTGATATATCCTCTGCCGATCTGGGGTCCGGCCCATGATTTCATTCGTGGTCCGTTGGCTCCATTGAATAACCACACGTTTTCAATCAGAACGTTTTCAATGATGCTGACTTCGCCCTCGTACTGTCCGATAGATCCCATGGACTATTTGCTCCGCTTGGTGGTTAGACATATGAGACAGGTAAACCAATAGCGAAACGCGTCTCACCTGGCCGTGTGTACCATTGCAATACATGGTATCGACGTGCAGATTTGTGCTATTTGTCTTCGGTGAGAAACAGTCTGGTACTATAATATTAGACTTGCCTACGTGGTTGTGGTGGGGCTTATGAAAGTATGGCTTCAACGCACCGTCGCCCTCGTTGGACCAAACATTCTTGACATGCACTCCATCGACATTGATTGAGTCAAAGAAGTCGGTATTGCTCGGATGGATACTGTCGTTGTTTGAAGTCGCATCGCACAGGACGTTTTCAATTTCGATGTTGTTCGCTGCGCCGGATTCTCAGTGTTAGCAAATGCGGTCATTCCACAGGGCTCACAGCTACGCCGAGCAGAGCTAGTTATGGGTACCTACAGTATACGTAAAGCTGCGTCCAGTCTGGCGAGTCCTTCAATAGAATCCCCTCCATTCGGAAGTTGCTGAGATTTGTGGCGTAGAATAATATTGGCCTGGGAAACTCGTCGTAGGTTTGGCCATTCAGTTCGTCCCACCAGATTTGTCCCTGTCCATCAATGGTTCCTTGACCGTACAGCTTGACATTCTTGCCGCCCCACTTCCACCAGGAAACAGAGCCCTGAAAGGGGTATTGCCACAGATTCTCGGGCTTTTGCCAGAACTCGATGTCGTTTGTGAATTGCAGAACCCCGTCCAGTTTGACCTCAACATCTTCAAGGAATGTAAGGTCAAGTCGTTGGGCGATGACATACGTATAGCCAGCCGGAAGGTACACCGTGCCGCCAAAGTTAGCCTTTTTCAGTCCCTCAAGAAATTCCTGAGAGATGTCATCCTGGTCATCGACAGAGGGGCGGATAGTCACCACTGTCCTGTTTAGGGGAATTGGATAAGATTCATATGGGTACATCTCTCTAAATTCGGCCATGTTGGACGGTCCCCCCGGGGGATATACCAATGGCTTGGGTGTAAATGTCGCAATGGCTGCAGCGGCCATGGTCAGAGGCAGATACTGTGCGCACCACATTTTCAAGTTCTCTGAACAACGGTCTCTAGAGCTGATGCACCATCAAGAAATCTAGGTTTCCGAGGTGCAGCAGAGCAAAGGCTGCTTGATACATATACATTATGCCGCAGCGACATCAGTTTTCTATAGTCGCCAACAATCAGCACAACTAGAGGCTGGCCTGCTGGTAGCCGAGATCGACGGTCCAAGTTCCCTACAGCTCAAATTTCCAGCAATCAGAAGGCGCCCCGCGTTATTCGCTGCAGTATTGCGACATCAGCTTTGGCATGATTAGCGCATCTTTAGCGCAGATCTTCCTGATGCTCAGCTTTGTACCCTCCCTCACACTTTATACTCAGATTTTAGGCATATGCAAGGCGCTCCCTTTGAATTGAAGCGCCGTATAATAATCATATTTCGCTTGCTATTTTCCTGAAATCGAAGTATCCCACGGAACGAATTATTGAAGCGGATTCGTTTGCTTTTTTCTATCCTGTTCCCTTATAGACACTAGGAAGGCAGCTCTATTCACCCATCAAGTACTAAATGTTGGTGAATTGAGTGTTGAAGGGAAGACCAGTGTACGGTAGAAAAGGCTCATGGCAGGATTCACCCGTCGATCCATACAGAATCAGGCCGCTTGCCCTGCAACGTCTTTGGACGCCTTTTCTGGAAAATGCTCGGATTGTTATAACGGGCTTACATGGGGACTCTGTACCTGATCTTCTTACACAATACCGGCCATTGCTCCAGCAGTCCCCACTCCCCACCCAGTAAGCAATGCTTGGCCAACTCCGTCAGCATCCAGCTCGGAGCCTAACAACAGGCTTTCAGCACCCCTCTCTCCCCACGACGCGGGCCCAGGGCCCTGGCTCGCGGCCCAAATTCTCGCCACACAGCGTTATCACCCTCAACATCGCTACGAGAATGAACTCTAGCCAAAATTGCAGGCCTTGCGCCCTGGTAGGGTTATTGGTGGACGGCGCAGAGATTCCCTCTGATGGTAACGCCCCGAAACAACTCCAACACGTGATTGGAACTTTCGCAGACCTCAAACACAACACATCTTGCCGTGTGTGCCAATTTATAGTTTCAAAGCTTCATGAGGACCCGAGGCGAGATGAATATCAGCCCAGCTGCAAAGTGACGTTCTGGCAATGGACAAGCCCAATGGACTACAAGTGGAGCTACGGCCCGCGCGATGACGAAGACGACAACTGCGCTACTTGTGGTCAGGATCACAAGAGTATATGTCTGATCAACCTCCCAGACTCTCAAAAGTCGCTCGGTTTGGATCCGAACTGGATTGACCTGGGACGGTTGAAGGCGTGGGCGCAGCACTGTGACTCGGCTCATGGAGGCACATGCCACTCCTTGACGGAATGGGCAGACATATCTCCGCAGTCTTTGGCCCCGCTACTTCTTGTCGACGTCGATACTCATCATCTTGTTGAGATGGATCTCTCTATATCCTGCAAAATCAAGTATGCGGCCTTGAGTTACGTCTGGGGCCGCCTCCCCGACGTGTTGGAAACGACAAAGGCCAACCTGGCTGACCTCAAAACCCCTGGTGCCGTCAACTCTGCTCGTTATGCTATTAGTCTCCCAGATACTGTTCGCGACGCCGTGGCACTCACGAAATGCCTAGGACTCAGATACCTGTGGGTCGATAGACTCTGCATAGTGCAAGACGATATGGTCAGTAAGCCATTGCAGCTTGCTCAGATGGGCGCCATATACGCCAACTCGTACGTGACACTTGTCGCTTCCGATGGCCAGGATGCAAACTATGGGTTTCGGGGGTCTGTCAGGGGTGTCTCCCAGCCGCGGCATTTTGAGCCACCAGTGCTAACATACAAACAAGGGCGCAGAAGCCTCATCATAGAGCCTGTATTCGAGCTCGACTACGACTCAACCGAGTGGCAGCGTCGTGGCTGGACGTTCCAGGAACGCACTCTCTCTAGACGCAATCTGGTCTTTCAAGAGGGTCGCGTGTTTTGGGAGTGCCCTGGAGCAGTATGGACAGAGGAAATGGCCCACAACTCCGAAGACGGATCAGGAGATCAACGTTGGCAGAGAAGAAAGCCCTCGTCATATCAGCTGACCATGAGTTCGTGGCCGGATCTGCTTCAATATGAACTGCTTGTTCGTGCTTACAATACAAGAATTCTTTCATTTCCGAGCGATGGGCTGAACGCGTTCTTGGGTATTTCGACTGCTCTCTCCCGATCCTTCAGAGGAGGGCTTCTATATGGAGTACCTGAATACTATTTCGACATTGCCCTGCTCTGGATTCCGTTCTCACCTATACATCGACGGCTCGTCAACGGGGAGCCGCAAAGCATGCTGCCAAGCTGGTCTTGGGTTGGCTGGGAAGGGGGAAACATCAATCTCAGCATCCTACCTCAGCTGACGCGTCACGTCGGAGCAACATTCGGCTCGTTTCCCCTCGAATATGTCGAGATTCACCCCATGGTTACATGGTTGAAAACAAACTCCGATAGTGGCACGCAGGACAAGATTGATAACGGGTATCATGAAGCGGTGCTGATGAAGAACGACAGCACGCTAACACTACCGGATGGGTGGTCACGTACCAATGTGACCAAAGGTAGGGATCTTGGTACCGGATTCATACATAAATCTCTCCCAGATACAGTCTTTACATGGCCTCTACATATACCTGAACATCCTATTGAGTTTTCGCAAATCCAGTGGGAGCCGCTGCTGAAGTTCGAGACTACGCGGGCCTTCTTACATATTGGATCCCGCATCCATCGTGATTGGGAGGGTAGAAATTGGAACGAGGCAACAAATGCAGCCGTTGAGACGGCCTCTCTGTACCACATCAGGGGCCCGTCTGGGGATTGGGCTGGGATGCTGTATTCAAACGATTTCGACCGAGCCCCCGCCGCTGACCACGAGCGCTGCGAGTTTGTTCTCGTGTCTCGTGGTATCACCTCCAAGGATCATGTAGGCGACCACAATGGTTTGGAGGAATGGGCACAGGTTCCTGAAATTATGGATCTCAGCACGTATGAGTTTTATAATGTGCTTTGGATACACCGAATCGATGGTATTGCTTACCGCAGAGGCCTAGGTAGAATCTGGAAGGACGCTTGGCATCTTCAACTCACAGAACAGACACATGTGACACTTGGATGAACATGGAACCTAATTATCCTGACTCATAATAAACGTGTTCCTGCTCTGAATTAAAGCGTTTCTAGGACTTGTGAAAGCGTTACTAGATACGCAGAGATGATAAAAGGTGTGCAGTAATAAGCATCATGATAGAAATAATTCTCGTAACTTGTGAAGTACGGTATTTGTTCCAGATGAAATCAATAACCCAATCTACGATGATTGACAGTGTCCTTGCGTCTTCTCTTCTTGCCTCTGTCCTCGAACGGAACCCAAAATCTTGACTCCGGCAGCCTGATATATCTATAACCAGTGATTGGGGAGTCAACTGATCTGGGAATCATTACTTTCCAAGCCATCGTTCGATGTTCAGGGGGGCCTTGGTATTCGGCCATCTCTTCCTTTAGGTAACTTGGCCATATATCCACCTCCATGATCTCAATTTCCTCTACGACGCTCGAAAAGAAGACTTCAATCGAGTACTTTGACACTAGCTCTGTCATGTCTTCCTTGGTGACTTGTACTCTATCACCGCAACTTTCGAGATAGTCTCTGATAACATCTTGGCCTCCACGAATTTCTCCCAAACTAGAGCGATCGGTTTCCTTGATTGCATGGCGGAAATGTTGAAGGGAGACTTGAAATATTGAGTCCATTTCCCATAAGGTAGCTACGTCAGGTTTGCCAGTGTGCATGTTGAGGCCGTCTAAAAGGTGTCCCCATTTTTCTATTGCATAATTAGTGGCGTTGATAACAAGTATAATGTCAATTCACTTACGAGAAAGGGGTAGAAAAAGCCCAGCACGGTCGAGGAAGCGCTTCAGTATCTTGAAACTCCCACAAATGTTTGGACAAGTAACTTGTTCATAGAACCATGGCACAGTGGTCCGTCCATTGGATCTACCGTTGACTCCATAATTGATGAGAAATTGATTGAGCACGCTCGGGCCATTCTTAGCTGATTCGATAACGACATCATCGTTCATATCAAGATCGTCCCTGACCTGCGCCAAAACCTGAGAAGTAAAGTCAAGGCCATTCCGGCGAGCAGCCCCGAATATACTGGATGTGGCTCTGATTTTCTTTGACTTCTCCCAAAATGACGGAAAGGATATGATACCCTTGAAAAGACCGCGCTCGTCGAGTTCCATTATAATGGCACCTTGACGTGATAGCTGGTGCAGCAGCGGCGATTTTACGTAGCGAAGATAGTCCACTGCTGTCATTGTCAAGACCAATGGTTTCATGTGTCTTGATGAGAGTCGCTCCACATCATGGATATCTGCCCCTCCAAGGATTTCACTCTCCAGGAACGTTCTCAGCGTTCCCAGGATCTCTTGGACGCTTGACGCATGATTCTGCCATTGGAAGAATTTGCCCTGGAGCAGATATTTCAAAAACTCCTTTACTACTTCCTGCTCCGTTTTTCTGTAGTCCGCTACAATTGGTTTGTCTGAAGAAATGCCTAGAAGTGCGTAGAGCCTATCCCGTGGATCGCTCGCTTGGCTGCTTCTGAATCTCCAGAGGAGGGTAGACATATTCGGGTTCTGACCAAACCATGACGATAATCTCGATGGACCTGGCATAACATCAATGATGGCCTGGCATTGAGTGCTCGGTTCGACTTCAAGCAGATTCGGTGCAGCAGCAAACGTCGTCGCCTTGATCCACCCTTCGGTGCAGCCCAATGATGCTCGTTTGGCTTGAGCTACTTCTTGGATGATCCAAACTCTACTAAACCATGGGCTTTCCATGAGTAGCTCCAGTTCTGACCGTAAATTGGCACCTACCGGCCCTTGATCTTGAAATGCCCAGGGTATTTTCATCATGTCCCAGATTCCGCGAAATCTGGGATCCTTATGTAGCCATTTCTTCCATGTTTCGCAAGGTACCTCGGCCTCGAATCTTTGAAGCGCTGGCAGCAGCTTACCGCACTCGAGTTGTCCAAGCCAAATCAGGACTTCATCGGCCATACTGTATAATTTGCCCATCATGTCAACCTGGTGTCCACGCTCGAGGACATTGTTTTGATCGATGCAAATAGCATCGACCCACAGTATGCGGTCCTTATCCGAAAACCTGAGATGTTTGAGCGCTTCAAATAGGTTTGACGTGATGGCAAGCAATTTGCCATTTACGCGGATTGTGTTGGTTAACACATTGGATCCCCAGCAATATGAGAGTGCTTCGTAAGGGACAAGCGTTATATCGTCATTATCTGACGGTAGATAGCTTTGGAAAAGATGACATTCTATCGGACCAGCTCCAGCTTGAAGCCTTAAAAGGCGGTATCCGGGTTGGTCCATTTCCAGGCTTTCGTAGACAAAAAGCTCAGATATTGGAGGCTCAGACAAAAGCTCATCTGGATCAATATACAGCATTACAGAAGCTATGTACGACATGACAGCCAAACAAGCATTCTCGTAAGTGTGTCTGTCCTTGTTCTCTGTATTAGAATTGGCTATACCAGCCACGACTAGGAATGGGAGAGAGTTCGTAGGTAATGAAGCTGTTTCGAAGCAAAGTATGTTCCTTTCTGTCGCAATTCCTTCAAGTAGAGTATGATTGAGTAAAGGTTGACTCGAAATTGCTATACCGCCATAATGTGTTGAAGGCGTGGGTAGGTGAGCCTCTGACTCAATCGCAAGATCGTCGTATTCGTCACATTGTGCCACAGTTGGACCAGCCGATTCGCAGTGGCATGCGCGCCATTGTTTAGTAAAGGATGCAAGCCAGCTGTGGTGACCTTCCCATGAATGCGTCTCGATGGCCATTGCAATAGTATTAGACACACGTCCCGACTGGCCAGTGACGACGAGACGTTCCTCGCACATTGTTTTCTCAGCATCGAAATAAGTGACGCCTTGTCTCAGATCTGGTAATGCTCCTCCAACTACCACATCACCCAACTTAACGCCTGGGGCAGCAATAGCATCGCTCCTGATGATGAATCCCGTTCTAACGGCAGGGGCGTATTGCATAAGCTCGCTGATGATGAACGCAGTGCTTTGGGAATCCGTCATGTCAGCTGGACTTGCCATCACGACGTTGAAGCCCCGCACAGTCCCAAACGCATAGGTGACGTGCGAATTGGAAGAAAAATACTGATGGACATTGGAAAAATGGGTATGAGCTGCTGTCTGCTGATTGTAGGAGGACAGAACCCAGGCCAACCAATAGTCTCTTTTGTCAGATGACATATTGGAATGGGAAGGACACGGTTTGTGATGGTACGATCACAGACGGAGTCGAAGGAAACAAGATGCAGGTTCTTAGTGTCCTTGTAAAATAGTATTGGACTATATTGAGACGCCGAACTCTGTTTGAAATTAAATTTGGTCGATGGTTTGAAAAGATCTCGTCCTGTGTATTGCGGAAGGTTCCCGAGATGTTGGGGTTCCATTGATGAAAGGTGGCTGTGCGTGGGCTGTGCCAGGGCGCGTATCAATTGATGCGTGCAGTATGCAGGGTGTACGTACTGGAGGTCGCATCAAGCACTGCAGGAGTGAGTTTAGCTTTATCTTGTTTGTTTGAACCATTCACTCGGTCATTTCTCAAGATTTGTAACTCGTTAGAAAACTTTTGCCTTTCTCGACTTTTTCTGACCCTCTGCGACAGTTACAAAATCGTTTTCAAGTGGGATTTATTTCCATCTTTTCCCCCTCTCTAGACACCACAAAAGCAGCTTTGATCGCCCATCAAGTATTCAATTGTCACAATATACCTGTGGTGCGCGACGTACCACGTGGCCATATCTGCAGAAGTGGAAGCTCGATATCAGGCACCTGCACATAATATAAAGGCAGGTCAAGCCAACATATAGAAAAGGATACTAAGCCCGGAGCAAAGCCCACGCATGCCCAAAACAAACACATCGACGATTGGGTCCAATCGCACAACTTTGCATCTTTCATTGTCGAGGCCCTTTGAAGAAGATTTCAAGGGCTTAGACGCAAGCCATTTTTCCATCTGGATCAGCTTAGTGGGCGGTGGACCAGCCATGGCCTACAATCGCTGATGGCCCATCATAAGGTATAGTATACGAGGGGTGTGGCAGAGATTTCCGCCACAGCCTCACCAAAGAAAGCTTGAATGGCTGAGCCAGCCAAGACGCTCACAAAGCAGGTACGTTTGCTGAAAACGGAGATCACCCCGTCTTACATGCATGTTTACCTACGATGTGCGGTGATCTGCCTAGCAAGTTTGCTACAATGGGAGAAGGTCATATGTACGGGTGGGCTGTAGCCTGGCTCTCAAGGTTGTCTGTAAGAACGTGAGGGCGAGTAACGGTGATAGAATGGCAATCGTAGGTGTATTGAGTATAGAAAGCAAAAGCCTGCCAAAGCAAGAGTTAGGACGGTATTGAATGTTTGCCAAAACTTGCAAACCATCTAATTATCGTCGTCCCAGTCCTCGTCCTCATCGTCAGATGGCAGTCCTTGCTCCCGCCTCTGCCGTCGCCGGATAAGCTGGTACCTAGTCGGCCGCTTCACGACAGGCTCTGGACGCGGGTATGGCTCGCCAAAATCAGCCGTATACTTTTCAAGCGTATTCACTATGATGCCGTCTCCAGCGCCTCGCATTCTGTACATCTCCCCAGCAGCTTGTTGAAGTCCCTGCTTGACCAGCACCTTGACAGGGGGGCAACTCAGCTCGTCTTCCTCATCCCGTTCCCGTTCTTCGCGATCAAACCAGACGAAAAGGAACGTTGTCTTGTCGCCCGCCCATTTCTCCTCATCCTCCACATCCGTATGGTGCGCAGGCTCTACAACAACCAAGGAGTGTGCGTAGTTGTTTTGGTTAACATCTGCCCCGCAGATATTCCACCGCCAGATATGGAACTCACTATCCCCCCCTTCTTGAGCACCACTCGCCTGATTCCGCGCTGCTATCTCGGATTGCTGGTGCGCAATGCAGGCCGACACCAACTCTTCGCGGCTGGAGCCAGGGCGCACCGCCAACCCGAAGACATCTAATCGGTCGCGGAAATCAACTTCGGCGCCATGGCGCGTCATGTACGTTTTAGATTCGAGTAGCTCTGCCACGCGAGAAGTGGTTTCGTCGCGGTCTATCTCCACATCATCCCGACTACCATCTGTGGTAGGACACGGCAAATAGACTTGGAAACTGCCAAAGGGGACTCTGCGGGTACCGAATCTCTCTTCAGGCTGATCCGGGAAGCCGCGAGTGTATTGTTGCCATGCGACCACGCAGGGCGTGCCGTCGTGGGCATTAATCCTCTCTGTGGCAATGTGAGGGCGGTGATACGGCCGCCTCATGCGCGGATTATTTGCGCCCATCCCACCGGTCTTAATGTAGTACTCATCGAGCGCCTCCTTGAACTGTGCAAACGAGGTAAATGGGGGTGGAAGAGGCTCTACGCTGCCTGACGGCATAGTTTGGAACATGATGAAGATTGTGGTTCCTTTTCTTCCCATACAGCCCATGCAGCACTTGTAGCACTTACAACTACACGGCCGGCTGGTGCGGGAATAGAACAGCGAGCAACTGCAATGAGGACCTGGCAGCTGGTCGGTCAGACCCACCAAGCAGAGAATTCGGCGACGCCATACCCAAATAGGAAGCATCAAATTCCAGGACCGAGAACAGAACCGTAGCTTACAGCTTTTACCAAAGACCTGAACGCTAAGCACAGACACGTGTAACACTTGGATGAACATTAAACTCCGTTATAATCACTGGGAGCTCTATACCCAGCTCAGGCTAGTGTAGAGATATATACGCGTATTGACGTCCTAACGTACCTAGTAGTCAGTACCCACTGCAGATCACCTGCGTGGGTATATGGTTCGCTCTTTCGCGCCTCTCTTTTGTAGACTAGAGATCAACTCAGACATCTTTCAATGCTTCCTCGATCTCGTCTCTAATTCCCCCTTTACACATCGGCTCAGGTGAGATGTATATGACACTATATCTACCGATGAACCGACTTCTGTATCAGTTTTATTAACTCCCTTCCAGAGATTTCGCCTCAGTCTCATGCCAGCTGTGCTTGGAGCATTGATCGGCACTCCTTGTACCGGATTGTACCCCGGTAGTGGCCGCTTGTCAGTCCCCGTCTGTTTCAATGCGCTTTCCAGTGGCGAAGCATGGTCTACCCAGCCAAGATTTCACACGTCGTACCCGAGGCGGCGTCAGACGTCGAGGGGGTATGATCTAACAATGTCGTGGTCCAGATAAAGTGCAAAGGTCTCTTCCCGTGCCAAAATGTCAGATTATGTACTCATGTGATTTATTGAAACATCAGGATTGAATGATTGTGTATAACAGTGTGGAAGAGACTTGCCTGGCGAAGGTGTGCTTTTTGCATGAACAAGGCATACACAAGCCTCTCTTTATCCTCTGTGCTGTTTCCGCCAGCTCCGTGGTAACAGGTAAAAAGCATAAAGAAGGCATCCCCGGAGTCAAACTCGGCATCTACGACTTGTGATTGGTCGGGCTGGGCTGGGCATCGGTTGCACTACTACCAACATATAGGGAGTTTACTGGATTTGAGACCATGCTGTCGGATAGGTTTAATTCTTAATAAACATGTTTCCACTTCAATATGCTGTTTCGCTTTTGCTATTCCAAACGAGCAGATCTATTTTCGTCATCTCACTATGAATGCCAACTAAGAAATGTCTAAATAGACCAGATAAGCCCGTAAAACACCGTTCACAACCGGGCAGGATATCATTTCTATTCATTATATATTTAATAGATATTCTCACCTAAGCCGATCTGTAAAGGGGAAACTAAAGACGAGATGATCAAAGAAGCATTAAAAAATGTATAAGTTAATCTTTATTCTACTAAAGAGAGAAGCTAAAAAGCGATTATATACCCACGCAGGTGATCTGCGGTGGGTACTGACTACGTTAGTACGACAAAGATCTTGAAATTCTCTACACTAGCCATAAAAAGGCGAAAAATCGTATTATGGCATCAGCTTCAACTTCATCGGCCTCTGGCTATCAGAAGTCTGATTTGTCTGTGATGAAGCTCATCCTTCCAGTTGTTAGTAGTCCCAACCCAAGACAACCCTTGTAAGCGATCCACTGCTGTTTTATTGAGGACAAGGAAGTAGAGATGATTCGGTCTTACTGGAGCTAAGGGATTAATTCCGAGGCCAAATAGAGGCAGCACATTTGTGCTCTGGACGGTTTGTAAGCAGCCATAATTCGGTGCAGATCATGACTCGCGCCCCTATACACAGAAGTTAGTTAGCACATCTCACCATATATTAGCGGCAAAATGCATATGTCCATTTCTTCAGAGCTTGCCAGTGTATGTACGGAATAGTTCTTGTTGAAATGTAGGAATAAGTGGAGCGCTCTGCACCCATTTATATATTTGAGCATCAAGCCTCGGTTGGATGTGAATAATTCAACTTATACAACATTGATCACTCCATACCTATTATACATTTTCACGGTTCTCATTTACGCATGCGTATTAGTAACTTGAGTGTTGCAACCACCATGGCCACGATGAAAGCTCTAGTTGTAACTCCCAAGGACAAGCTTGTGTCTGTCCTAGATGTTTCCATTCCGGAGCCAGGACCCGGAGAAATCCTAATTCGTGTCGGCGCAGTCGCCCTGAACCGCGTCGACTGGCTTTATACGGCTAACCCCGTGGCCTCCCAGGATTACCGTGTGGTTGGCAGCGATTTCGCGGGTATTGTCACGAAAGTTGGCAAAGGCATCGAACAGCTCCCGGATCAGCGGGTTCAAGTAGGGGCGCGTGTTGCGGGCTTTGTGCAGGGTGGTAGGTCATGAAATCTTGGGAGAGAATTAAGCAGCACATGCTAATAATCGATTTTGAATATTCAGCCTGCTCAGTAAATGAACGAACAGGGGCATTTGCCCAGTATGTCGTTGCTGAATGGGATTTGACGTGGGCCGTTCCCGCAACGATGTCTCTAGAAGAGGCGGCAACTGTTAGCATGTGTGGTCTTACAGCCGCGCAAGGCGTCTTTAGCCGCCTACAACTTCCGTGTCCATTCAATACGACCGAAGGCTTTAGTCGGCTTGGTACGCAACCTGGAGAGCCTGTCAATGTTTTGATCAACGGAGCGACATCATCTTTGGGACTCTTCGCCGCGCAATTGGTTAGGCTAAGCCAACAGTGCTCCCAAACCCCAGTACGACTTATCGGTATAGCTAGCGCATCCAAACACGCCTTGCTACAAGAAGCCCCGTACAGCTACGATCATCTAATTGATTACCGACATACTGGTTGGCCCGAACAGGTGAAGAAGATTTGTGAATCTAGCCATGGCGTTCACTTTGCCATTGACGCCGTCTCCGTTTCACCGACAGTTGAACAGGTTGAAAGCACCCTAGCCCCTAACGGTCGCTTTGCCGTATACCGGAGTCCGGCTCTTGGAAAATTCGACATTACAAAGCTAAAGATCAAGCCGCTTATCGGGGCTGTGTGGGAGGGTTTGGGTGTAGAGATTGGCTATCAAGGTATGGAGAGTGTGGCTCTGTTTCGACTTTGCAAATAAATCTCTAATTATAATGGCTAGGTGCAAGTATACCGGCGAATCCAGCAGCCCGCCAATTTGCAGCAAGCTTCTTCACCTTCCTTGGCACTGAAGGTTCGCACGGGGAGCCGAGATTGGTAGCCAATCCAATTCGCAAAATGACCGGCGGTCTTGAAAATATCGCAAAAGACGGTCTTCCACTTGTCGGGCCAAATACGCCTGCCGGCGTTCGACCTGTCAGCGCTGAAAAGGTTGTCTATACTATTCAGGAGATTAGCTAGATAGTGTGACTTGGTGGGGGATACATGTATAACAACTGTGCAGAACCAAACCAACATCATTAGCACAAGCACCAATACCAGAAGAGTACCATACAATCTTTCAAGTGCTTCCGAAACCTTGCCGCTTTGATACATTGCTATTTACCAAAGCTAGCTGCACATTCCAACGCGAAACCAAAGCATCGAGCGTACCAACCCTGTGACCAATGACTCAACTCCACACAGTGAGGCGCCCCCGTCATCAAGCTGCCGTCGACGCGGGCACTATTTGCAAACGCTCGTGCGCAAGATTCAACCTCTTCCGTGGTTACCACAAAGAAAGGGTCATTGTCCACCAGAGAAAACATGACTGGTGTCGAGACGTGTGCCGCATACTTTTCTTTCCAGACAGGCAGCCATGCATCCTTAAAGGTAGCCACCTCCATCAGGGGTGTCTTAGCATTGAGCCGTTCTGTCTGTTCCAAAATTTCGTCTTCTACAGTACCCGGCTTGAACATGACGCTGTCCTTGGCCCACGATGGAAAGGTGACGTAGTCATCCCCATGAGCCTTGAATCCAGGGGATGTACTTTTCGCGGAGACCGACTGAGTAGCACCCATACCGCTTGTAATTATACCGCTAAGCGGGTAAGAGGGCTGCATGTCCTGTCCGTGCAGCGAAGCGGCGACGATACCACTCATGGCGCCTAGACTGTGACACAAGAGAACAATGCTATTGCATTGATTCGAGACCCCAAACTCTTGCCAAAGCTTAGGTAGGAGGTGTCTGTGAAGCATAAGACCGCTCGCGTGGTGGAAGTCAGATCCCTCTGGGATCGGCGAGACGCAACTGGTACCGCCATACCCCGGCCGGTTGATGGAAATGAATGGTATCCCAAAGAAGGAGCTCTGCCGAGATGCTGAATATTTCGGCGTGGCGTCAAAGTACTGGCAATCGTAGCATCCGCCGTGCAGGCCAACGATCAGCGGCCGGTGTTGTGCAGATGATGCTGAGAGGGGCGGGATGGAATGGATACCAGTCACTGTACCGCCGTTGGCCAGCGGGAGTTCAAAGGATTGCATCTTTGCTACAATGAGAGATCAACCAGCACACCAATCGACCAACACTGTCTTTAGTATTCCGTGCCTGCATCTTTCATATATACTAGCTACTTGAAGTCAATAGTTAAGAACAAATATATAAGTCAGTGGAATCGTCTAGTCCGCAATCGGCTCCGCACATTGGCAAAGGGTTTGAAAGATGAGTACGTAGATGGTGAACCACCTACATAATCGCTCAATGCTTGTGTCCTTCTTTTGGTTGTCTGGCGCTATCTCCGGGTAACGGCGGAGATAGAGGCGGACAAACCTCATTCACTCCGGTACCCTTTTTTTTTTCTCCTCCCCTTGCTCAGTACCCTCTTTTATTCTTGCACAAGACCCTGGGATGGTGGCGGCGACGGCGGCGTCAGTGGGGCCTGATCGAAATGCGAAAGAAAAGCTCAAGGCAAGTAGGAGAAGTATTTTCCCGGAATTTCAAACTTGAATCACGTGCTATTTACCACATTTCCAAGGGAGAGCGAAAATCTCTTCAAAGGACTCTTCTGCAACGGATCCGGAGAAAGATGTTAAACTTGGTGCGTGAAGAAGTAGGCGTTGAAATTGCGACGTACACGGTGGCCGGCGTACGCGACAGAGCAAGCATTGATGCTTGGATACAGGAAACGGTACGACTTTGAGGGCGACTAGATGGAGCTGCAAATTCTGCAGGTGTCCATCCCCAAGAATTTGGTATGCACCCAATTTGGAACGTAATAGACGGGTTTGGCAATTCACTCAAAATGTCAAGATCAATGGCATGCGCAATTGTGTTCGAGCTCAACTGAAGCACGTGGTCAACGCCAGGAAAGAAGGTGTCATGTCTTCGGGCTCAGTTGCGGTTGTTTGGGAGCATCGGTCGCCGGCACAGAAAAGTTGTCTGCTTACACAACTACCTAGCAAGCACGCCGTTTTTGGTTTGGCACGTCCGACCGCTATGTATTCTGCTTCTTATAACATACGGGTCGACGGAGTTTGTCCGTGAGTATAATAATTGTTAAATTTAAATGAGCTTTACCTAGCTATTACGAATAGGGACCCGAAGAATACACCGAGCTTGCGTCGCGCTGTTCCAACCTACCTGTCAAAGTCTATATCTTTCACCATCCAACCACTGTTGGGTGAAAACAACTCAACTAATACAACAAGTATTGTATTATACCGGTTATACCTTCTAACAAAAGCTATTTTTACATGCGTCCTGACTTCTCTCCGCTTTCCCGCGTCCACACCGTCGTCTTGCGCACATTGATACCCCCATGACTGCTGCCGTCTGAATAACTCGACAAGTCGTCCTCTGCATGACACGCGTGGTCCGCGACAATTTCCGTGTCCATCATGCCCCGACCGCGATCGCCGAGCTCCAGCTGGCTTTCCGTATCCGAGTCGCCGTCGACCCCGTTCGCCGCCCCACGCCTCCTTGTCGTTGTGATCGAAAAGACGCTCGAGAATTTATTGCTACTGCCACGCTGCCTCGAGTTGTGGAGTCTCTGCTTTGTACTGCTGCTGCCGTGGCTCCTCGAGTGTGGATGGGAGGCGGACTCGCTGCCGGAGGCGACGGTGCTGCCAAAGACCTTGGGTAGGTATTTCGAGAGGTATACGCGTATCGCTGGCAGGGAAATGACAATTATGGACACATTGACTTCTAATGCCGTCCATATCAAGGTGTCGGTATAGTCCCAGGTTGGATTGACGGTACGTGCAAATAGCACAATATAGCGTAGCCTGATACAACTCGTCAGGAGAATAAAAAACCCCAAACTAAACATGACGACTATGTTGAGCTTGTTGCGGTGACTCGTGTGGAGAGTCAGCGTCAGTGGCAGAGGTAGCAGCAACAGGCAGACGTCTTGAAATATCGATATCGACGCCGCCGTGTATGTGAGCGCATTAACGTTCAGACATTTGTGGCTTCCGTAAGTGCCCATCCATCCTTCCCAATTATAGTCGAGCGGTAGACACTGGAAGATTTGCAAAAAGACCATTACGATGCCGGTGCAGCTGACAAAACCGATTGCAATGTACACCGTGATGCGAAACCATCTGTTTGGGAAGATTCGCAGGAAAAAGCAGAGCATGACGAGTTTGCACAGAGCCAAAAGTGCTAGATAGAAGCTTTCGTCAATGAAGAAGAGCTGGAACGGCCATTAGCTTGTGATCAAAACAACAGATGATTAGCAATACCTTGAGTGCAGTGGTGACTGTAGAAGTGCTTTCCGTCCAAATGTCCACGCCAAATGCTGTAAGTCGTGCTGAGAATCGTAAGTCTCCGAGCGCCATGATGCTTTCCTTGATTGATGGTTTTACTCACCATATTGTCCCACAACTGTGAATGGTATGTAGAGCACCTACATTACCAGCGTCAACACAAGCTATGGATGGATCTCCCAGAGTGAGAGGACATACCAGGACGACAAACATGATGTAATCATCAACTCCATAATCACGACCGCTGTCATGCCGAGCGACAAAGTGCATGATTATGCAAGTCAAAGCCACAACCTCTACAGCAATGAATCCCCAAAGATCATTTCTTCGAGATCGGTAACTTCGATCGCATGCTGTGTCCTGCAGCCTCGAGATTGCTGAGAAGCACTGTTAGGTTATCTCTGGTGATCTAGACTGTCGAATGGCGCCGAGAGGACCTACCTAGTGACTGCTCAACAGTGCAAGAAGACAAGACACAAGCTTGCACTGAGTAGTAGAAATCCATGTCGGTGCAGATGCAAGTCGAGTTGGTGGCGACTTTGCAAGCCGATTCCGGTAATTGATCGAGAATGCATGTCAACTGAGGGAAACGTCAGAAGTTAGCATATATAGATCTTCACGTAGTATTTAAAACTTCAGAGGTATAATGGAGGTGAGAAGTCTTACGCCGCATGCTGGAAGTTGACTGGCATATTGCATCAAATCGGCCGCCTGGCATACCGCGGCCAGTGATGCCAATAATAACCAAAAGGTGCTCTGGAACCGCATTCTGTCGTATTCTCACCCGATCAACAGGCAACAAAGGAAAAGAGAATCTGGTCGCAGATGATGATGGACTGTAAGCCCCGTGGAAGACTTGAATCCTTGACACGGGCGGCTCTTCTCAATATCAATGCCCACACTGCAATGCAACCCGTGATCTATTATCCACTGAGACTTAGCAGAAGTGCCGGCATACATGTGCCGTCCGATACCGCCAATGTGTCCGAGTTTGGGGATATTCTTTGCCTATTCCAACGTAGTTGATGTGGTGTAGCCTTGGCATCCGTATAGTTTCGCCTGGGCTAGCGGAGGATTGTGCCCGAGAGCGTATAGTCGAGTCAGCGCGCTAGAACAGGCACGGCAGACTTAGTCTCTTCGCACGGGTGTCGTTTCTGGCACCAAATTTTCGTCTAGGTCTTAGTTGTGCCCTCCTCTCAACTTGTGTTGTTTGGTTTTCCCTTCCCGAGATCAGAATTAGTCGGCTTTTGATCTTGCGCAATGGGCGCGGCATGCGAGCCGATTGGGTCGCACCCAGATGTACGGCGTGTCGAACTTGAAATGTAGACGCCTGGTCTCCCGAACAGAGCGTATTCTACATTGCCATGAAGCCTAAATCATGCGCTTCGCAACACGAAGATCTGCACGTCGAAACAAGATGTGAAATAGGGAAAAGAAAGATGAAGAGTGGAAGACTTTTGCTTCAGGCGTATCGAGAATACAGTTGTGCATGGGTCGGGTAGCAATATGGTCAAGTTCAGCTCAGAAGTTTGCAATATACCAACATTATTTGCTTGTTTTGTTTAGGCGAGGCCCGTATATTGGTACAGCAGACTGCATCCAATGGACTGGATTCCATGAAAGTTAGAGTAACCCAAAAGAGGTCCATGGCCCGCTTCTTTCTGCATTGAACCTCGCTCGTTCCTCTCCTTTACCAAGCCTCGCAAGAACCACGTCCTTGAACCAGATGCAATGCCACGGACCTTTGAGAGAATAGCATCGGAGGAAAGAAATCAAAAGCCATGTTCATTTAGAGATGGGCAAGGTTCAAGAGTTGGGGGGTGTTAGGCGATGAATGCTTATTGGCTACAGGCCGTATATCCCGACCTTCCGGACGTGTTCTGGTCGTGTTGCACGAGGTCGAGCTGCCAACTGGGGATATAGGGAGGGGGAGGGGGGGTTCTACGCGAGGACGCGAGCATTAAAAAGCAATCGACGCCCTCGCCCTCCCTTTGTTTGACTTTTTACCCCTTGCGCGTCTGGGAGTAGGTTGATACAGTGGCTTGCAGATAAAGCGTGAAAGGTGTGTAGTGGATGCTAAATAGACAATGTATGGTGAAATATCCTGGTCGCAGATCCGGGAACCATGAGCATCAATGGAGACAGAACCGGCCCACCCACACCCATCGCTTCGGGAAGAGCTATCATGGCCAAGGGTCTTTGACGTTGGGCCTAGACTGTTTTTGCAGCTCACCTACCGCCAAAGCCGCCAACGCGGCTGGACTTTGGAACTCTTGTCGTTTGTGCTATCGAGATTGAACATTTGATCTTCTCAAAAAGACATGATTGCAGTTCCGCCGTCGACAGATCAATTGATGGTCATTCTACTTTTTCCCAGACCCGATCCCATCTGCGCGCTCTGACCCGACGCCTCTCCTGTCGAGGTCCAAGCTGCTCGTCCAACGATAGCCATGAAATCAATCCTTCAACTTCCGTCTAATCGTTAGACTCGGCAGCCAGCTTGCGGCATGAGCTTAGCAAGTCCTGTCGAAGGTCCACCAAAGCGCGACTAGGACATTAGAGTTGAGATGGTTTTCCGCTAGCACTTGGGGCACCGTGCTGACGCGTAGAGCCCAAGCTTTTCTATAATCATGCTGAAATGGCCGGTGCGATCACGGCGGGTGCTGCTTTTTCCTGATCTATTGCGACAATACTGAGTAGGGATTCTTCCTCAAATTCGTCTCAATGGAGATAGCAGAATGGTGGCGTTGAAATGCAATCTCGCTATGCGCCGCTGTACAAATCCATTGGTTATCTAGGTACGCATCGTGGCTTGAGCTGACAGACGTCAGAACCTTGGTTGGCTCGAGATCTGAAAGGCTATCGTCCTCCCCCTTGCAACTTGACCTAGCCATCCGCAAACCGCTGTCCACGACAAAAACTCCGCTCCGCATCCGATGGCAAAGGGAGATCGAGAAGTCGTAAGCTTAATGCCATCTCGTCCAACCAGGTCCCGAGCAAGATTGCTGAGGGTGTCATGAACCCCCTGGTCATCCCAGCAGCAAGGGATGGATGCGCGGCGCGACGCCATTAGACTGATTGACTGAATGAACCCCCACCCTTGAATTGCCCATATTGGGAAATACTGTCGTGCATATTCAAACCACCACCACCCACATCAAGCAAAGCAGTACTATTACTACGTCAGTCATGATCTTTGGCAGATTTTCATCCCATGTTTTTAAAAGTCAAATGGTTTCAGACATTGGGAAACATCATAGCTCAAGACTTGCATTCGAGCCGAGAGGCAGTTGGTCAGTTGATTGGTAATGCTATTACTTTGTCCTTCTTTCGATCTTCCTCCGCCTTCGCTCTGACACCAAGCACCACGTCCGAGCTCCTATGGAATGCATCAGTGACGACATTGCTGTTCTATGGATGGCGCTGTCCTTTTGACAGGATAAACCAGATGCGGAAATACTCTTTTCTGGAACACATTGCTCAAAACTCATTGCCGTCAAAATGCACGGGACTTGGATCGCCGATCAAGCTACTCTAGGCCGAACATGTCTTTTCGCAACCGGAGCAAGCCGCTCCAGGTGTTCGTGTCTCGCCGCCCGATGCCACGGCCGGGCCAGGGTTCGTGTAAGACGAGAGCTTGGAGTGAATGTTGATCAAGACACCCGGGTCGCTGGCCTTGATGGCACCGGGGAAGCTGACACCAGCCGGCACGGCAGCCGAGGAAGAGCCACCATCGACGGTAATTTGGTAGCAGGAAACATAAAATTGTGCGCCACCGGATGAGGATGCTGTAGTAAGAACACATGGTCAGTAAATTCTTTCTTACGTTAATGGGTTTGCCCACTCGAGCTTTCTTTGTCACCGAGAAGAGTGGATTTCAACCACTTATCCCGCCAAGTTCCGAATGCGCCTCTTGGATGTCAAGACATGAGTAATCGTCGCCTTACCTGTGTGTAGAGCAATGACCTCAGCTCGAAGCAAGTAATCTCCTGACGGTGTATTCGCTGGGATGGGCACGTCCATACGGCCACAGCAGCCGGACAGGTCCTTGGTCCCCCAATAGTCGTCGTCGCCTGACCCGGCCCCGGACTTGGCTGCCCAAGAGTTGGCAAAGATCTTGTACCTGAATAGGAAACCAAAAGTCAATTATGTTCAAAAACGCGTACGACATCTCGTATAACCACTTGACCTTGCTCAAGTGTTGAGAAATGGTAAATCTCACCAGGAACTTGACCCGTCTGCTGTGGATGCATCGGAAACTTTGCTCAGATACACATTGACAGGACCATAGTGAGCCCCGCCAATAGCCTCGTTTGCGCACTTTCGGTCACCGGGTTGCTATAGTCAAGCCATATGCGTCAGCTTCACATCATGGGGCTTCCATGACACTCTCAGCAATCCCCGAGGGCGGATGGAAAAGGCCATACCTGGTGCATCTCCACCGTGACGACCGAGCCGGGCTTAACGGCACATTTCCCAGAGACTCCCTTGGTGCCCCCAACATTGCATCGAATATCGGCGCTGGCTACGTTGGTGATGGGGCTGTTTGACGCGGGTAGTCGCACGCAGGTCGATCCCTTGTCCACCCCGTCGACCCAGAGTTGTTGGAACGTGGCATGGGCCGCAGCGTAGCGGACGGCTAGGGCGCTCAGCACGGTCAACTGAAAGTTCTTCATTATGGAGGTCTTGAAAGATGTTGATCTCGTGGAAACCGATGTTTTGAACAGAGAGGACTTGGCTTTGCAGTTGGTACACACACCCATGAGATCAGCGGCGCCATAGTCCTTATATGATGGACAAAACAACACGCGGAACTCGAGACCGCAGCCATTCATATTGATTCTCGCAAACCATCTTCCGTGACTTTCTCACTTACATTAACATGAGCCGCGAATAAGAGCTGGCTTGGCAAAAGGATTGGGTCGAGTCAGGGCGTCGCATTGCGGATAAAAGTACCGAGGCGGCTGAATTCAAAGTGGGCGCCAAACTCCACAAATTCTATCAATTCAATGGCCAAGAAGCTTGGTCCCGGGGTAGCAGATATAAGCTTATCAAAAAGATTAATATCGGCTCTTCGCCTGGTTGGTCTAATCTGCGTTCCGTGTCGGTTCACCACGGGCCATGGGACCTGATATCCGCAAAATTATAGCCCTCTTGATTGCCAACGTGCCTGCAGCTTCCCCATACTTTTCATCAATGAAATACCTGCTGACCTCGGAACATTTTGATGAGGTCATTGATTGGATCCACGAGGGATTTCTCGCAACAAGCATCATGTCAAGGGATTCTCAGTTCATTAACCTTTACAGCCACTTTCCAAAAGTCTGATGTGAAAAGTGATAACCCGAGACTCTAGATATAGAATGCAATAACATTGAATTGCCCGGCCTGTGTCACACATTCCCTGAGCGACCGTCATAGTCACATACCGCGCATGTCCTACAACAGTGTAACTTACGAATTCGTACCTAACCAAATCAACTGCTCAGCACTTAGTCGATGAATACAATAGGTATCAATAGAATTCTCGGAGATTCCTGGAGGAGATATATGGTGAAATATCAATTATATGTGATCTTTCACGGTTTGCCGTGTACTAGAGCAACATATACACGTACCACAGGCTGCTGAGCAGCACTTGGAGAATTCACATGACCTTGAAGGTAGATACCTAATCGACTGTACACAGCTCGAGGGTAATGAGCTCTTCTCTGCTAGTGTTCCTCACGCAGGCATTGTCAATTGACGGATTTCAAAAAGACCACGCTTCTGATATATCCTTCTAGCCTCATGCCTCATTAAGTTGAGCCTTCCCCCTTCTGTGGATGCATTAGGTTTCCTGTATGTATCTTTGATTTCGCATCCGGCTTTGCTGGGACTACGTTGCCTGTGCGCCATCTCACGAGGATTGTCCCATGAGGACTGAAGTTTTACAAACGAATTTGCACAAGATCGCTTTGTACTTAGCTCAGTTTCCTCGTTGGAGACCTGCGAGTTCTTTCCATTTGAATTCTCTTATTAACTAGCGTAATGGTATGCGAACTTACTCTTTCATAAAACGATCATGTCTCAACTAGGAGAAGGATTAGGTGAAGAACTGGACAGCTCTGTTGTGTCTGGGAGAAGAAATTGGCCGGCAGACCTTTGCAAGTTGCAAATGTCGTGTTTCGCCCTGGTAGTGACCATGACATCTATCTACCATGTGGCAAGATGATAGAAATACCATGTCGATAGTTGGCAAAGAGTGATATTCTTTGTTGCAATTTGAGGCACCTCAACATGACCAGGTAATCTGAGTTCTCTTCCTTATTTGGTCTGGTCGTGCACTGGAGTGTGGGTAGCTAGCTGTTTGCCAAGACCAAACTCTTCATTTATCTAGACTCGATGGAAATGCCGTCTGGAATCACATGATGGCAACTATCACATGGATCATGAGTGATGCATCCAAGAGAATCTGTTCTAGGGAATCGAGGCTTGGCACGACTTTGACTAGGCTGATGAGCAATCATGTATGTGTTTTCCCGGGTGGTGAATTTTTATATCCGAGAAGAGACCCGAGCAAACGCCGCAATTTGGGAGCCCTATCTCTTTTTCGGGGGGCGCTCCTGCATATCCAACTCCAGAATCAAATGTGTGGGTTGCGCTGCTAAAAATCCTTTGAATTCTAGTTCGGAGGTAGCCTCTCGGTCGTTGGGTAGTCCGAGGGGAAACTAGAAGAAAAAGACGCCAGAATGCAACAAAGGGAATCTCGTGACATATTACCGCAATTCTCATACTCCACCTGGGACCCGCCCTGAACTGCGGCGGCGATCGAGGTTATGCGGCTCCCTCATCGTGCATCATGCCTTTCTTTTCAAGGCACGATCACAATGTCATTTGTAGAAGGAAGCTTCTCCGCGCCATATCTCTCAGACATATGGGACGATCCATAATATCTCATCGTGGAGTCTCCGCGCCAAGAGACCTAGCTCAAGCAGTAGTGATCTGCGGGCCACCTGGAACTTGCGCATGCATACAAATTATGGTAAAAAGGCACGTGAGATAAGGTCCAAGGGCACCAAATCATTGCTTGTTGTGCTGTGTTCAATGTTGAGAAAAATCTCATTGAACAAACTCCAAAAATTTGAACCGACGTAGCCGGTTCATTTATCAAAAAGGCTTGGCAACTATATCGTCGTCGCAGTAGACTACTCTCCGCGCTCGGTTGCCGGAATCCATGTGCTAAAGATAGCCCAGATAGATAAGATCGAGCTGCCTCAACGGGCGCAATGCGGGCCAGGGCCAGGTAGTTGGAGCTTCAGTCGTCGACGCCTCCTCCAAAAGTCTCTCCTATAGGTATGTAGGTGGTAAATTACAGGAATGCAGTCCTTTTGGTATCTTCACGTTTCAGTGATTACGAGGCCAGTTGCACCGGAAATAGAGAATAGATGGATGCTGGTTGGACCGCTGGGTCAAGATTGACCAAACTCGGCGCTCAATTGCGTGATTGAGCAAAGATGCCCGGCTTGGCGGCGAGTGGGCGGCTGTGAGGGGGTCCACGCACCGGATCGGACAACCAATCCTCGGCCTTCGGTGCGGCGATGAGCTTGACCCATTCGTGATAAACCCTGGCTATTGTAGTATTTTGCCCAGACAAACCAGTGTATCTCAATGTCCAAGATATACGTTTGCATACATCCATACTTTGCATGTGAACCATGGCATGTCATGATTATTAGAAGAAAGCGTGCCGTGGACCCGGACTCGCACTCGCAGGATAGTTGAAAAAGTAGTAAAGAGCAGAGGTAAAAGCTCTGTGCTTATATGCATCGATAGCTTCAAAAATTCCTGGAATTTCTTGTCTGCATTATTTTATTTCTATCGAGACGATACCAAACGCACAGTCTGCGCACAATACAATTCCACTTGGGTATAGGTGTTCCTTGGCTATATTTCCTTCTCATCAGTCAAGATGCCGTTTGCAGTGTTGCCGATGCTAGTACCGGACATCACTCCGGTATACGATGTCTACTTTGAAGCCTTCAAGAATGCCCAGATTATGGAGTTCCTCTTCCCCGGAGGTGTCGATCGACAAGCTCACAAACATGGAACGACGCTCTGGCTACACCACGATCAGAACGGATACACAATCAAGTGCGTAGACTCGGAGACAGGCACTGTCGTCGGTATGGCCCAATGGGAGGTCTTTTGGCGCCCAGACAAGAACTCCTTGTGGAAGAAGCCAAAGGGGGCCGAATGGCTCAAGGGCGACAAGCGCAAAAAGGCCGAGACAGTCCTGGTCCCAAACTGGGCCATGAGAGATAAGCTCTTCGGTGGACGAAGGCACGTCTGTAAGTGGTCTGCTTGAAAGAACTCGATACGTATGCTGATAAACACTTAGATTGCGTCACAATGGCTACGCATCCCAAATACCAGCACAAAGGCATTGGTCGGTTGTTGCTTCAATGGGGTATTGACCTTGCAGAGCAGTTGGCTCTTCCCATATATCTAGAGTCATCCGACGTGGCCTTGTCACTGTTTGAGAAGGCAGGCTTCGAGAGATTGACCGACGAGAAGCTCGTCTACAAAGCTTCGGAGACTGGTCAGAAGGCGGACAAGGAAGTGCCAGTTCTGGTGAAGCTTCCATCCAAGGCGAACGGACTATCCTTCAGAGAATGGGCAAAGAAGGGCTACCCAGAGTCGTATTGATTGTAATCGTATATCAGCTTCTATTGTATAGTCAGTCTTTGGGTGTCAGTAGGTAAAGATTAACTTATCCTTCGAAAAGGTTTAGACGCAGTACCGCTGATGACAGCATGGAGCAGCAGCCATGAGACTGCTTCTCTTAGTTTTGGGTACAAAAAATTGCCAATGAGAACGCTTCACCACGCGGGCGATCCAAAAGGCCGGACAAGCACAAAGCTTTGACATCCAGTAAAGGGTCCCGGCCAAGTGTCACGCCACACGCGATGAGCGTCCATGCCAAACTGCTGCTTTGACCAATGTAGAGCTGCAAGATCTGACCAGCATCGTCGTCAATATGTCATTTCCGGACTCGGTGGCTTGAGTTCAAGTTGGTCCATCACATGCCTCAAGACAAGTCATCTCTGTTGTATGCACTGCCAACAAGAACTGGATTTTTGGTTTCCTCTCCATCGAGCTCCAGAGAGCAGCAAGGAGGGCATTTCGCATGGACAAAAGACGTTCATAAAAACCATGCTGTCGTCTCTGGCCTGATATTACACAGGCAGAGGGAAGTGGTCGATTGCTGTGAAGCAAATCGCCGAGGTTTTGGCGCCCAGTTGCCGTTGATTCTATCAATGACTCCCGGTTGATGCGCCTGGCCGGATCACACAAGTGACACATCAATGAGAGAATCATGATGTGGTTTCGGTCTGCGAACTGATGCTGCTAGGGGTGGATGAGTCTGAAATGCGATGCAAAGCAGATCGGGTTTCATGCCGATCGCTCAAGCTGTAGGATCGTGGCAATGGATTCGAAGGTACTGAAAGCGGATAGCAAGGCAATCGATGAAGTAGGCCAATGATGAGTCTTCTGTGGTAGCCGAATGGCACTCGCTTACTCTATCGAGCAATTCTGGCGAAGGAACCATCGGTGATGAAGAAGTAGAAGTCTCGGCAGCCTAGTTCTGTTTGTAGCCTGTGCTAAGCTCTCCTTCGAATCTCTGGGCGCACGTGTGGCAGAGTAGCCAACAAATATCCAGACAGGCAATCATGTTCAGAAGGACATCTCCTCAGTAGACATGCGGCTCACTTCGCCAAAACGATCCATGACGGCCAGAGTACACTTCCAGCGGCATTATGCTGACGAGCGGCCACCAGACCAGGGGCTCTTACATTAAACTCATAGCACAAGCCCTCACTCGCCTGACGGCGACTGGAATGCCCCATTGCCCTTCCACCATGCGGAGGCCCGCTCGGCGCACACTGCTTTTCAGCAGCGCACGGCATAACGAAGCGTTCCGACAGCTTAGAAGGCAAAGTTGGGCGACTATGAGCGCAAGACTTGAACCAAGTGATAGCTTAGGGTTAAGTTCCGAAACACCGTTCCCATCGGCCGGTTCTCCTCGCCTGGCAAACCACACGCGGCGAGCACGTTAGGACTGCTACGGACCTTGAGCTGCGACGTGCCAGACGGGAGTTGATAAGGCCCGGCCATGGGGTCCGTTGGACATTCCTTTCGGAAAACGAGAATCGGAGAACTGTTGGGAAGGCGAAGGTGCAAGTTGTATCATATCTTCGATCCTACAAGAGGAGCTTGGACGAGAGGACTTGTTCTTGAGGCGTCATGACGGACCAAACGAGAAGCTCAAGCCGTATCTCGAATAATCGTACGGCAAAGACATATTTCAGACGCCGGTCGCGCAAATCGTTAATGGTCGCCTTGGTGGCAGTTTGGTGTGATGGTATGGGGAAGACAAACAAGTGCGGCACGCGTTTCGCGTCGAGGCCGAATTTAGTGGACGTCGCGCCGGGGGAGCGCTAACACGTGCCCCTAGCAACCAACGGCGGGCGGGTGCTGGCCCTAACTAGGGACTAGACCTTGGGCGTGCATGTCTAGCACAGTCTAAAAAGCGGGCCGATTTGTTCATACTAGAGCCTCCCGCTGACGATGCTCTTTTTGCATCTTTGATTGACGGATGCTTGTACTAGGCACTGGCATCATTGCTCTCTATGATGAGGAGAACTAAGAATACTCGCATCGAACCAATTCAGTTCTTCCAGCGTGTATAAGAAACAAAGTATAGCCAATCCAGTAGCCATCCGAGACCGATCCGTGCTTTCCGTTGGCACCGGCCAAGCTGTCACAAGATGAATAATCTAGCCGGAACACAAGGCGCCCTTCAGTCCTCACTCGAAACTATAGGAACCAAAGCTTTCAACCCTGACAGTGAGGAAGCATCACGTGGAGAAGCTCAGCGCGAGTTCGGAAACCTCATATCAAGGTATGACCAAACATATTCTTGCTTGCGAACAGATTTTAAATGGTGACGCAGTACAGGGACCACATCTCTCATTGCAGCGCTGAATGCCCTCATCAAACCCAATCGGGTTCCAAGATGGCTCGCTTTGAGGTTCATGGATGTCTTGACACTCCTCCCCCAACGACCTGATGGTGTCAGGGCCACGCTAGAGTTCATTTTTTCTACCCATCCTTCGAGCACTGTAAAAGCTTCGGAAGCAGCCGGGCCGCAGAAGCAGGGCGCCAACATTACCATGGAAGCCATGAAAATGGCAGCCAACCTTTTGGCCACCCCTCCTGCCGGGGTCACGCCGGAGCAGTGGTTTCCGGGCATAGCGCCTCAACTTCTCGCGCTCCTCGATGGCGCCGAAGGTCCGGATCTGGTTAAAGTAGCTGCCTATGTCATTGGATTCGGCATATTGGGAAGGAGGCAGTTTGGCGCGCCAGGCACACCCGGGTGGCGATCATTTGCGGAACCTATGCTCGCAGCCATCAACCCCTCGCTGTCATCTGATAAAGCTGCCCATGAGACAATGATCTTCACTGCTGGCCCCGACGACATCGTTGATCTGCAGAAGGAGACGATAATCCGACAGCCGGTTCACTTGGCGCTGGCATTGAAGCGACTTACCTCTCAACTGAACTCGCATCCCAATCCCGGATTGACAACAAGGCTTCTTTCGCCCCTGGTAAAGCCACTGTGGACCCTCAGCTCTTGGCCTGAAGCCGACCTAGAGACTCGCGAGACAATCTGCTCTCCAGCAAGAAACTTGCTTTCCATCTACTTCAAAATCGCTGGGCAAGCAGAGAAATACTTAAACTTGGTCGACTTTCTTCTCTATAACGGAGATACTCTCTCTGAAAATTGGGTATGGCGCTACAGTCAGCAGGAGCCACAAATATGTGTTGTACGAGCCCGTGGTTCTGTCGCAAATGCAGTTGTGGAGCTTGACTGGGAAAGTTTGGGCCCCAAAGCGGTGTCTTTCGTTGAGATACTGCAATGTGCTGCCTCGGATACGGATATTTCAACCGTCTTTCTCACGCTCTTTCGCCGCTCGTTTGCAAAGCAACTCACGACGCAGCAAGATGTAGTCATGAAAGTCGACGAGGATGAAGAAAAGGAAGACCCCGTAAAACGTATAATCGAGTCACAAGTGCTGCAAGTCATGATGGATAGGATTCCCGACAAGTTGGTTGCAGACTCCAAAGGCCTACTTGAGCTTGCCAGCCAGGTGCTAGCTGATTTTGAGGCTTCGTCTGAGAATGCCGAGTCAGTGGCGGTCGCCTTGAGTCTTTTGAATATCGTCATCACAACACCGAACTTCCAGAGGTCGGACATGAATAAGGATGTCCTCAATTCTATCGAATCGTCTCTAGAGAGAATCAGCCAGGCTGGTCATCCCGACATTTCACAGACGGCCAAGAATCTCCGTCTGCTTCTTACCTACAGGGACGAAATCGAAGACCCCTTGGAGCGCACGACAGCACCTACGGACCGCCAGATCGAAGACCGCAAAACTTACAGCCTGGCAATGTCTTACATTACCCAGCTCGACTCACCTCCACCAGTCCGTGCCGAAGGACTCAACCTTATCTCGGGTCTCATCAAAGCAAACAGCTCGGTAGTTGATATTCAAGGCATTCTCGTTCTTTGTTCTTCTCTGCTTGGCCAGGAAGACGACTACATGAATGTCCGCGTCATGAAGCTTTTCGTGCAATTGTCAGAGAAGCATCCCAAATCAGTCCTAAAGGAACTTCTGGAACACTATGTTGATGCCGATGAGCGTGCCAATGTCGACACACGCCTGCGATTTGGCGAGTCCATCTTGCAGGTCGTGCAGCGGCTGGGTGACATGTTCTCAGGTGATGCCGCTATTCAAGTCGGCGAGAGCATGCTATCGATTGCTGGCCGACGTGGTCACCGAGCCAAGACTGAAGCAAAACAGAACCGGGAACAACGTCTCCGGGAACAAAAACAAAAGGCCGCCGAGAAGGCATGGGGTGGAGACGTGCCCGACCTGAGCGAGCTGCAAGAAGAGGGCAAGGGACAGACCGAAGAGGAAAAGGCTCGAGACGATGTCTTGGCCCAGATTCTTCAGGGCTGGGAAAGTAAGCGTGGCAGCGAAGATATTCGGATCCGAGCCTCTGCGCTCTCCGTCTTCTTGGTCGGCATGGAGACCAACATCGCCGGCTACGGCTCGACTTTAGTGGAAGCGAGCGTGGACTTGTGTCTGAACATTTTGACAATCGAGACGGAAATGGAAACAGCCATCCTAAGACGAGCTGCCATCGTACTCATTCTAACCTTTGTCAAGGCCCTCGCGGACGCTAGAGAAGCGGGCAAACGTCTGGGCTTTGGGTTGACGGATGCTAGTCGCGAGGAAATAACCAGGATTTTGGATTATGTAGCTGGCACAGACACCGACGGGTTGGTCCGGCAGCATGCCTCTGATGTGGCAGAAAGTCTGCGCAACTGGCAAATGACCAGCATGTTGCCAGAAATGAGAGCACCGCCAGCTGGGCTGGAGACACTCGCAGGACTCAATCTTGGAAGACCCGACTTGCCCGCTACGGCGCCTGCTGTAAGACCGAGGATTGAAGAGATTGAATGAGGAAGCAAAAGCTTGATTAATGGTTTTCTTGGGTTTCCTAGTGCCAGACCAAAGTACGCTGTGTGGGATTCCAAGCAGCTAGGTCCGCAATACTGGACTAGAATAGCTTTCTCATAGATGGAATTCCAACTCTTTCAGCATCAATAAAGTGACCTCAAGATGAACGCAATATTAATGCATCATGTCCAAACCATACAGTGTACATCCTTGAACAGCTCAGAACCCATCGCTAGTCAATGTCCATCCGCATACTATTGTCTTGGACTTCACCCACGTTCGCTACTGGCGTTTTCTCGCCCAAATCATCGCCCTGATTCTGTGCCAAACTCCTGGCGACCTCCTGTGCAATGTCTTGCTTGACTCGTGCTGCGGTCACCCTTCTAGAGGTCGCGCAGAAGCTTTCATAGCCATCGCTAATGGAGTAACCGTCAGCATCTTGTTTCTTGGCATTGGGGTGGATGTTTCGGGATGATAATGGAATTGTCATGTCTCGGCCCAGGTGTCTCGGGAAGATGCATAATCAACCACAGATATAAATAGCCTAGAGACACGCGTGACATCAAGGAGGGGAACACCATTGGCTCATGATCACGACTTACAGTTGAAACCCTCCATACCGTAACAAATCCAAAATCTGCGTAGTAACTGCCTCCCTGGGCGTATCCTTGGGGTGTGGCGCAATCCCAGGAACAAAGGCCGGGCCAAACTCGGCGGGCACACCATACGACACGCCCCTGACGCTGCGGCCCTCTAGGTTCTTGAGCATCTGCCGTTCCTCCTCTCGCGTCGGCGGCAGTCGCTTGGAGCGCGGGGTCGGCTGTCCCGCGTCTGCGAGCTCCATCTCGCGCGCCGCGGCTTCTTGATGGCACCGCCGTGCCTCCTGGAGGGTGAGGGTGGAAATGTTGCGCTTGACGGCCGTCATGTGGTCCTCGAGGTCGGTCAGGGCGCGGTCGACGCGGAGCGATGTAGCGGATGGGTTGGCGGCGGCGGCGGCGGCAGCAGCAGCATCAGACGATGAACCCGTTCTCTCAGGGGATGAGGGCAGAGAACGCGGCTTGGTAAAGTCAAAGGTGGCCGGGACATAGATTGCGGGCGCCATGCCAACGTGTTGTGGGATGTGATTCGGGGCGACTTGCGGCTTGGCGGCCGGAGTGTTGCTGCCGTTCCTGGATGGCTCTGGCGTCGTGGAGCGCGACTCGGGCTCCATCTCATCCGCGGTGATAGCGATGGGATGAGGCGAGCCCTGACGCCTCCGTCGGATGGCAGGATGTGGTGAGCCTGGCATTGTTTCCTCTGTGGTGTCGACACTGCTTGCACGCACGAGAAATTTGTTCGTTTGGCCCTTCTTGTGAGCCTTAGAAGGACTTGTAACACCGCTTGCGCCCGTGGTGTCGCTTTGCAGGACTCCTAAGCCTGGAAATTCCAAAATGTTTCATGAAAAGTCTGAGGGCATGATTCCTGTGCAAAAGATTAGTTACATGTTCGAAATGAATACGATACTGCCTGGATTACTGACTTGTAGAGTATCAATGACAAATGGTTTTGTTTGGATAGATCTCGCATATAATGTAGATAGGTAATTATTCCCAATCTTTAGTAGTTGGCAATGGTTGAAGATGTTAGAGTTTAGTCTCACAGACGAGACCTGCGCGACATACGTGGGGCTCTGGCTTGGTATGTACATTGGACCCTTGGTGCAGAATCGGGACATGGTTGCATCGCGTAAAAGGATGCGGTTGCAGTTCAATTTATTCATTATTGATTAATATGTGTCGTGTTATTGAATTCCAGATGTAAAGCTATAAAGGCCATGTCACAGCTGGACGCCTTTGATATGCAAATGAAGGGCCCCTTGTATTGTTCTCTGTCCTTGACATAATAAACATCAATTTTCGTAAACACCCCCGTTTCGTTTGCTCTTTACAGGAGTAAAGAATATGCCTGAGCATATCTGTCAAGTACGGTTCTTACAATGAAACACCATGGTCTGGTGGCATTGTCCAAAAGCGCATATATTTTGAATGACCAAACCGGCCCAGTGAAAGGCAGATGCCAGGTGCATTGCACATCAGCAATAAAGAAAGCTCGGAAGATCTATGTAAGACTGTGTATGGTGTGGCTTGCTTTCCAGCATCTTGGGCGTGGTCATACAAGTGAAATTGATTGTCTTAGTTCTGGTTTCACTGTCGATATATTGATGCTACAACTTTGAACTGATCAAATGTAGCAGACATGACTATGATTCGTTCGCTAGTAGTATAGTATATGGCGGCAGCATTTCATCATTGAGTAGACCCGTGGGTCTTTTTTTTCTTCCTTTTCTTTGGGGGTATAACCTAGGTCCATCATCTGGATGGCAAAACTCTCCGCGCATATTCTCGACCGATCTTGAGCGCCGACCTGCATAGATCCTCTAGCCTCCTGTCTTTGCGCCTCCGCATCCAAATGAGTATAATGATTAGTATAAATGAGTCAATGACCAGGTGCTTGATGGCTGTCCAAAAGAGCCACGATATCCAAGCAACAAAAGTTCTGTCCTTTTTGGATTTCCACTCCCTCCCAGTTGTAATCTGCTCCCTAAGCGCTGCGATCTCGGCCGACAAGCGCACCAGAGCTCTCTCTACTTTGCGCGACCACTTGTCACCTTTCTTGACATAGTCGCCTTCATCATCATCATCGGCAAGTCTTTCTCTATATTCTTTCTCGACCTCGTCGTCCTCGCTCATGGGACTGAGCATTTTCATGGGCCCTTCGGTCCCTGGCAACGGCTGCGCAAACTTCCGTATGGGCTCGGGCGAATTGTTGCCCTTTGGACTCGTCTCGCTCGTGCTCGGACTGTTGTTTTTGATTTGGTTCCAGACAAACTCGAGCTCCGACACGAGCTCCTGCGCGTCGGGGGTCGTCGCGAACCGGTGCATGGTCTCGATCAGGGCCTCGATGTACCGCCGCTTGGCCTCGGTCCTGCTCAGCCCGCGTTGGGCATTCCAGGCATCCCATTTGCCCTGCTCGCGGTGCAACTCGTCTGGGGTGACGCCTAGGGCCGCGTGCGACGGCCGTTCCATGACCCCGTCCACGTCCCCCTCCATTGCTTGCTTGTACAGGCCATAGAGCCGGAGTCGGTCTGCGGGTGGAGGCCGCGATGCGCCGGTTTTCGGAATCTTCTTTACTGTGTTTAGGGCATGGACAAATACGCGGTCTATTCGTGGAAGGAAACTGTGTTAGCCTTGAAAGCCATAGAGCTCATAAGAGTGTGTTTATTTGCTCGGTCTGTTGTGCTCATGTTGTCGTCATGGTCGACCGCGAGGCCTCGAAGCACGTGTGGATTGCGCTGCGATCGCTAGGGCCGGGAGTGATTGAGACAAGGGTCCAATGATTGACGACTCACCAACCGAGTCCGCCATTGGGACTGTTCATTTACAGGATCTTGAGCTTTCTGTAGTATAATTTTGATCGATTAAGATTATACGATAATATAGGTCATGGCCGAAGAGCTGCGACGCGTCGCTTTTCTTCTTTCTTCCTGGGTGCCCAATTCAACTGCAGCCGAGGAAGCTGCTGACGGGGGGATTGATCGTTCTGTTGGAGAAATGCCGACCAGCTGTTGCGCAGAAGTCGGGTGCTTGCGGCTCCGCGAATCGAATCAATCGCCAGAGACAGGGCTCGGTCGGCCCTGTGCAGTCACAGAATCTCGGGTAGGCTAATTGCACAAATAACAAACGGGCAAGACATAAAAGAAGTTGCGGATGTCTTGGTAGAGTGCGTTGTAATATGTCACGATTGGTATCCAAGCACTGAGGGTAAGTTATCATGAGATGGACCCATTGTCGACAAGTCCCACATGTGCTGCTAGAATGGGGAGCTTTCGGCGGTTGACCCTGGCATTTCATTTGCCTCGGCGCAGGGAACCGGGGGAAAGCTTTGGGTGCGCATACAGGTGCTTTAACTTTTTTAGGCGATGCGCTGTGCTACCGCCTTTAGTATGTTGGCCCTGACTGATGACTCGGAACACAGCTGGAGGTCGCAGTGCGTCAACGACATGTTTGCACACCCGACCAGACCCAATCCAGCGGGATCACTTCACCCGAGGGACGCATCCATGAATGAATTTGAAGCCGTCATTTGCGAATCATAATGCATCCTGTATTCCCGCCACCATTTCACGCTATTTGAGGCCGACCCTCCGCACTATATCTTATGCATGTTTACACAAATACCTCCACCTTGAGACATGTTGTATCATGTTGTATCTTGTCCTTAGGCAGGGTTTCGGGTTGGTAAAGAATTAGACAGTTCATGGCAATTATGTCGATTCTACTGCATGTCTTCTTACTCCATAGAATGCATACCTGTAGTCCGTTTCGGCTATGTCCTTAAATACCATAGCAGCCGCTAGCGGGTGGTGTGTCGAATGTGTACATGTGCACAGTTGTGACCTTGTCTATCCTACCCCTAACCTCGCTGAGCCTGCACTGCTGCATCGAAGTCCTTCTTCCTCTGAGCAAAGCGGCTAATCATCTTCTTGTTATCAAGAGCCATTTGCGCAGCCTTCGAACCTGCTTCCTTCTTGTTGAGTGCACTCCCGTATCCCATGTTGAAGTCCTTGACACCCCATCCGTGAAGGTAAACTCCTACTGTGTACCACGGCAACCCCGTTTTCTTCTCCGTCTTTGGTTCGCCTTGATCTCTATACTCTATGAGAACGTCCTTGCCTCCAAGAGCCTGAGAAAGTCGGACTTTTGGTGGCGCGAGTGGTTTGGGAGGGGCATCCGTAGAAGTTGCCGTGCTAGACTCGGATTTTGGCCGGTTGGCCATCAAGGGTGCTACAGTAGTAACAATAGGAGGCCGTTCCTGTCGTTCTCGGAACTCTTTGTGAAGCTCTTCTTCAAGCTCGCCCCTCCACAGGACCTTGATCCATGAGGCAGCGCTAGACAAGCCATGCTGAGGGTCGCCTAGAATAATGCCGGCAATGTAGGCCTCGAAAACATCACCCAGGACTTTCCCATACAGCTTCTTGGTCGCAGGAGCCATGTCGTTCTGGCCGCGAAACTCTGGTGGCAACTTGAGACGCTTGTTAAGTTCGTATTGCTGCGTATATTTTCCAAGCGTCTTGTTTCGAATCAGTAATTCGCGATACTGAGAGCAGCGACCCGCAGGTAGTTGGGGGAATGTTTGATAGATGAAGGCAGACGACATGAGATACAGGTATGCATCACCAATCCATTCCAATCTCTCATAGCTTCCAGTCGGATCTTTGGACAAGCCAGCGTGGGTGAAAACAGCACTCTCCAATGTAGTGTTACGAATTGTTGGTAGCGACGGCAATGGCCTGGCCTTGGCGTCATCGTGAGGTGTCCAAGGCGTGAGATCGATGGCGTGTGGAATGCGGACTGGAGCTGCCGACACATCTTGCAGCTTGGGAGCCTTGCTGGGAGGGGCCGAAGGCTGAGCATTGAGCTTCTCTATATTGTTGGCTATGTCTGCCGTGATTGCCCTTAGGCGGCTGCCACCCTCGATGTACCTATGCTGTTTGCCATCCTGAATATCCTGCTTTAGGCTCTGCGCAGCACGCAGCAGGTCTTGTGCTTGTTGGACGATCTGGGACACTGAACCAAGAACGTCTTCACTTGTGCTGCTCTCCGGCAGCGCAAAATCTGAGAATTGTCTTTTGGACATGACGATCAGTGACACTTGGCCGCACGATGCCCGAGGTCGACTGTCGAGTGTCACAAAACCGAATATTTTGGTGAGGTTGGAAAGAGACCGAGAGAAGAGTGGGGCTGCAGAATGCCGACGCAAATTTGGTGTGAAAAGATCGGTCCAACACACGATTTCGATTGTATGATTCGAAAATTTGTAATAATATCCTGCTTTACACACAGATGTAAAGAAGAAGTCTTTTCAATGATTTTGGGGACAAACGTCCAAGGGTACCAGGATTTTCCAACGTGTTTGTGCAACTTAGTATGAAATGGTATACCTCAGATCGACTCTAGTCATTAGTAGCCGGCTACATGTGTCCCATCAACTTTTGGGCGCCTTGTTGATCGCGATTGCCCGGTAGGCAAAAGGAATGCAGGTACAAATGATTTAAGATGTGTAGCCAAACACCAGCAAGGCTATTTTGTGGTCAACAAAGGATGAGTGGTATATAGCAAAGTAGACGGAACCACACAGGTGCTTGCAGAGGCTTCAATGCCTTCTAATGAATCCAGACTAGAGGTGGACATTGATTTCATAAACTTGCTTGCAGACAGGTTATGTAGAGGGTTTTTCTGTTATTTAATGCTCCCTGAGCGCCCCAGCTCAATTGAGTTTGTTGTCTGGCTTCAATGCTGTCTACATTTAATACATTAATGAGGCAGGTATTTGGTACTACTTACCAGACATCAACATCAATGGATTGAATGATACATACGTGCCTCGAAATGTGGGGCACCCAAATGAGGTACGTACCTGCGCGGCTGCTTATCGATAACACCATGACAAGCGACGAGCCCGATGGTCGCGCGGAAATTTGGACATCACGACAGGGGAGCTTCCAACGTCAAAGCAAGGCCTCATTCGCAGTGCTTCCGGGCCTTTGCAAGATACAAGATGTCGGTTCCACGAGCGCGGGTCCTTGACCTGATGAAGGTGCGTGTGCTACGACTATAATGCGCCACTCGGAAATCCTAACTCTGCCAACCAGAAACAATGCGAAATCTTCTCGACCACGTTTAACCCGACTGGCGTCCGCATGGGCAATAAGATCCTGCGTCAGCGATTGAAGGGACCGAGCATGAAGAACTACTATCCTCCAAAGGGTCCGCAATTAAGGGATCTCTACAAGCAATTCAAGAGCCTAGAGCTTGAGGGTGTCGATGAGGAGTGGGAGGACTGGCAAGAACATTTGGCTGGGTAAGGACGGCTCTTTGAGACAGACCGCGACCGCATAGACTGGATAGACATACTGACGACATTGAACAGGAGACAACAGCGTGGAAAGGCACCACCCAAGAAGAAGAGGACAGCTCCAGCAGCAGCAGGAGGTAAGCAACATCATGGTGGCCGTATCTGCAGACTTCACTAACGTGTGACCTTTCTCTCAGCCAAAAAGAAATAGGATACGATACGATAAAAGATATTATTCATACATGTACAACAATCGCGGCGTTTTTGGGAGATGTAGACAGCATCAATATGTCGATATCATCATGTCATCATGTGAACTCTTCGAATTCGAGCTCCAGTGTACTACCTTTGCGCTGTTTCAATTGACCAAAGACTCATGTCCCGACTTTCTTGGCAAGTCTAACATACAGCCGTCTACCCACAACCTCCTTCTCGGTTCATTCCAACCTGGGAATGAAAGGTACTCCGCCAGATGAATCATCCGCAAAGGTCAAGTGCTACTTGCTGTGACTTTTGGGCAGAAATGGAACTAAACTGAATAGAAACACACCTGTATCGAGGTCAGGCTGGGAGTCTGGCTACCATACATCAAGACGGCCATTGGACCTTTTTGAAGCGAGACTTTGAACGATTTTGCCTGTGCTGCACTTTAGAAAGCGGCCTTCGGACTCTCGCCACGATTTGTCTAACCCAGCAGATGTCGATGAGCAACCTCAATGGCGAGCGCAAGCAAACGCATTCCGATAACCATGGCCGGGTACTATTGAGATGGACCTTTCTCAATTCAAGATTTACTGCTGCCCCTCCAGCATTTTAGAGGCATCTTGAATGATAGGTTTCAGAAGCTAAGCAATGGCGCATGGTTGCGAGGGGCAACAAGAGAATCCAGGGCTTTTCATCCGATGTGGGAGTTCTATGATCGCCGTTTGCATCCCAGAGTGTTTCCCCGGTGCTGAACAAAGGAGACCTTATAGATCTAGATGAACAGCCTACATTCAACAACTCAGCACCAGTGGTGTAGTGGTACACATTACAACATTGTGAATTGAGACGGAGAAGGAGTACGGTCTACAGGGTCTCCCTCAAAGCTCCTCCATGGTTAAGGGTCGCTCCCTAGGACCATGAGAGAGAGTCGAGATGGAAATGACTGTAAGAATGGGCTCTGAGATCCTGCCAATATCTCAACCTTGGAAAGATCCAGGTTCAAATCCTGGCTGGTGCCTTTTTTTTTTCCTACCCTCTTCCCTTTTCACTTTTTTTTATCGCTCAATAGTCTTTCCCCTTTTGTTCTCTCTATTTCTCTGATGACAACTCTTGGTTCATTCGAGAATTAGACAGCAATTTGCTCAAGTCCATTCGCGAGAGAGAAAAAGAAACAATATCGTATCTCGATACCATACTCTTTTTCATTAGTCATCAGTAGCAACACCTATTGTGGTATTGCATCAACACATACATCAGTGGCCTGTTGCGCCACAAGGACAGGATGGCCAGAGTTTTGAGAGATTCTGTGTTTGTTGTGTACTTGGGCATTCAGGAGGTAGCAATAAAGTCCTGACCTATTTTGTCGCGAATACTGCTGCGTTAATTATTCATCAAATGAGGGAACGTCAACATTGAGATTATCTCATGAGCTGCAGCCAGATTCGAATCGTCCGGAAAAATGGACTGCTTTATCCATTGCTTCCCCATCAATAACAATTACGTTCATAATATGCCTGTGACTGATCTAGACTCTCTGAACAACAGGTTGCATACCGGCTTATCAGGCACCTCTGTAACAACTGATTCAACTGCAAACGGCGGACCTTAAGCTTAACAGCACCAACTTGCGCTTAACAGCAGCACCATCTTTATCTAGACCTATCCCACAAGATGCCTTTATTTTCGAATTCTTCTATTTACTTCCACTACGTTGATTCCTTTGCCCCCTGATCACATACCACCTCCCCCCTTTTGTTCACCTGGATCGACCTGCGTCTTTTGTGTCTCACCACTGTTTGCCTTGCGCAGTTTAGACGGTAGCTTCTCTTGACTCTCCATTAATTCATTACTGTCTCCGCGTTATCAGTACTCTTGGCCACTTCCCAACTTCACCAACCTGCGAGTCGCCTTTAACTGTGATCATTTGTGCACCTTTACTGCGCACTTCTTTGGTCTACGCGTCGTCGACATCTACGGTCTTCTTCGGTCAACCCCTACCAATAGCTCTCTGACTTGGCTAACACTTGTCCAGGCCGTGGTGAAGCCTCTATATTTTTGCCTAGACTCATCAATCATCTACGGCATATTGCGCATCTGTTTTCGCCTACATTTCATCGGCGACTGTCATCTGAACAGGTCGACAACCAAGTCAAAACTCTGTTGGACTACAGTCGGTGGTTCCCCGACGGCGAGCCTGCAGCAAGAACCTGACCCACGATACTTTCTGTTCAAGGATCGAAATCCTCCTGCTACTCAACATCTATGTGAGCCTGCCTTTGGCACTCTTCTACTGTTGTTGGCTCTTGACAATTCATGGCAAAGCCAAATCTCTGCACATCTTGTGTTCAGTTTCGGCTGGACAGTCATTCTCTCAAGGCAATTGCAACTTGTCCCAACGACGAAGTGGAGGACGCAGTCTAGACTCTGTTTGCATTTGAATTCCAGCAGTGTCTGCAACTGCTCGAGGATTCAGTCTGCCCAGACCCAGTAGTCCCCTTTTCAAACGCTGGGTATCACCTTTTTCTTGATTTTTCACTCAACACACTTTGGCCCACCAACTTTGTTACTTTCCAACAACCAAGTCACAGGTCAAGTTGGACTCCCACCAGTTCTTGACACATTCCAACATCATTCTCAACTCCAAGCAATACAGGCTGAAATCAACGCAATCTTCACTCGCCTGGACAACTGCTTGTTGCAAAGAGCCCACGAACTCTTTGACCCTAGACGTAAGTTGCAAAATTCACAGCTGTGGTCTTCTTCTGTGCAAAGCCAGCCAGCCGTTCACCTTGCTGGCCATATGTTGCCAGTTCCCTCGAAATTCCATTTTCATCTCCAATAAATCGTCTTCCGTCTCAAACAGAGACATCACACAATACAAGTATCAGGCGAAAAGCTTTGGGCGAAGATTCACATCTTTCCTGGCACCTCATTCACATCCAAGTTCCCTCTTGCATTGTCCCTGGTTCTGGGTACCCGCTCTCGGACGTGAACAATCAGTGTTCGTCCCAGTGAAGGAAGGACAATCTGCACTGCACCTGCCCTCTGACACAACTGTCACAGCCAGGGCGGAGTAGCCTAAAAAAAAAAAAAGACAACCTACCTGGCACTCTCTTTCCTTCTGCCAATTCCACCATCCTTGCACTTTCAAACTTTGTTACGGTACTGGCCCAAGGTCCTGGAAGCACTCCCATCATCTTTTCTTTCCCCATCATCACAAACCCCCCTCCATCTGACTCTCACCACCCACATTTGATCTACTGGTTTCTATCTGGCCATATTGATCATCATCTTCCCTTTTTTTGCTTGCCAAATCCGTGGTCCCAAAACATCAGAAAAGAGGTCTTCTATCGAGCTACTCACCACACAAGCAGTCACCCAGTCTGAACCCATAGTCCACCACCATGGGAACCAACGGCACGCCCTCGACGGGCTCGCCCACGGTCCGCCGCCCTCCGACGACCAAGGTTTCCCCTACAGAGGATACTCGCAAGATTTCCTCTTCTAGAGAGGACGCGACTGTCAAGGCTCTCGCACATCTTTGCGTCGTAAGTTCCTCATTTCCCTCCCTCAGCTCCTTGCCACGATATCGCCACCAGCCTTATCGACTCGGCCCTCTGGATTCTTCATTGCTAATTGCTCTCATCAAAACCCAGACTAATGATGATCTTGCATCTGTCCACAATCAGAAGCAGTCGGCCATCTCCAACAAGGAGAATCGAAGCATTGTGGTACGTTTCATGACATTGAAGCTTGTCAAATTATCCTAACACATCGAGAAGACCGAGCTAGATGAGGAGCCCAATCCCTTGGTTGACGGCTTGCTCAAGCACATCAAAAACAACAGCGAAACCCGCCACCCTATGCCCCGCAAGCCCATTGGTTTCATGACTGCCAATGACGCTGGTACTAATTCACTGCCCCCAACGCCCGCCGTCGAGAATATTTCAACTGCTGCTGCCAACGTTCGACCTGCCAGCACCAATGCCAAGGACAATCTTGTTATAGATGATGAGGTTGCCCGTCTCCAGCAGCAGCTAGCAGCCGCTCAAAGCAAGATCTTCCAGCTTGAGGGAACAAGCCAGATCCGAGACTCCAACATTGGCAATATGCGGGCTTCGCCTCTCGAGTCCAAATACGAGGATGGCGCTTCCAGACTTTCCGACACTGGTGCTTTGCAACTTGTCAACAGCAGCTCTTGGCCCGGATTCGATGAAAACAGATCCGAAAACAGCGAGACGCTCTCTGCGAACGGCTTCACTCGCACACGTCACATTTGGAACGGTGCCAAGCCTAACCAGCCGTTAGGAGGAGGTATGTCTGGAACCGAGATCCCAGGCACTGCCAACCCCTGGGCTTCTCGAGGAGGCAACTCGATGTTGGTTGAATCAGGTATGCCCTACCACCCTGCTTCAGGTTCGGAGCCCTACAGAGCTTCTGATCGTGTTTCTCCCGATTACGACATGGCCATTCGGGGCCCCAACAACCGTCGCAGTGGTCGCTTTGATCGTTTTGGTGGCTTCTCGGCTTACGGAAATCAAGGTCCATATGGTGGAGGCAGTAACTACAACAATCAGTATGGCCAAGGTCCCTTTGAAGGCGGACCAAACCAGAATGGCCAATACGCCATCACTGCAGCGCCTTTCCCCAACCATCAGCCCGGCGCCATTGGTACTGCCTTGTCCCCGCTGGCTACTGAGTTCACTTCTGGAAATGGCCACTGGAAGCAGGAGGTAAGCCAATTTGAATATGTGAAACGGCCAATACTGATTCGTTTGTCTCTTCAGCCCACAGTCTCGGAAGGTCCTACCTATCTGCCTACTACTGAGCCCCTGAACTACCGTCGCCTACTTGATCGCAATGTCAATTGCAACTGGAAGTACATTGTTGACAAGATTGTCTGCAATAACGATCAACAAGCATCCATCTTTCTCCAGCAGAAGCTTAAGGTTGGTACGCCCGACCAAAAGTACGAGATTGTAGATGCAATAATCCTCCAATCCCATCCCTTGATGGTCAACCGCTTTGGCAACTTTCTTGTCCAGCGTTGCTTTGAGCACGGCACTCCAGAACAGGTGATCAAGATTGCCGAGTCCATCCGTGGAAACACTCTAAGTCTTTCTATGGATCCCTTTGGCTGTCATGTGGTTCAAAAGGCATTCGACTCGGTCCCCGAGGACTACAAGGCCGTTATGGTCCACGAGCTTCTTCGCCGCATTCCCGAGACTATCATTCATCGGTATGCCTGCCACGTCTGGCAGAAGCTGTTTGAGCTTCGTTGGTCAGAGTCCCCGCCGCAGATCATGAAGTACGTCAATGAGTCTCTGCGTGGCATGTGGCACGAGGTTGCTCTCGGAGAGACTGGCAGTCTGGTTGTTCAAAACATTTTTGAGAACTGCCTCGAGGATGACAAGGTAAGTCTGCTAGGAAATTGTTACTCACGGTCTTGCATGCTAATATGTTGTAGCGCCCGTGCATTGAGGAGGTTCTTGCCAACATTGACATTGTCGCCCACGGCCAATTCGGCAATTGGTGTATTCAGCACATCTGTGAGCATGGCGCTCCCGCCGATCGCAGTCGTGCCATTGATCACGTTATCCGATATGCCGCAGAGTATAGTATGGACCAGTACGCTTCCAAGGTAGTCGAGAAGTGTCTGAAGATTGGAGGTGGTGATTTCCTGGGCCGCTACCTTGACCGTGTTTGCGAGGGACGAGTCGACCGACCCCGTATCCCCCTGATCGACATCGCCAGCGATCAGTATGGCAACTACTTGATCCAGTGGGTCCTCACCCAGGGAAACCCTCAGCATCGCGAGATTGTTGCTGCTCACATTCGCAAACACATGGTGTCGCTTCGCGGATCCAAGTTTGGATCTCGTGTCGGCATGTTGTGTACCAACCCTGCCATCGCAACTCGTCCCGGTCCCGGTATCAATCCCAACCTTGGACGCCTGCCTGGACCTCGATATGGCCGCCCTTATCCTTAGGCCACTGAGCCAGACTTCATGCATCTAGGCTATGGCCAGATGCCATATATTGCGAAGCCTCCTTTCGCTGCCTTGGCCCAGACAAGACTCTTTTCTCTTCCATTATCTTGTTACTCGTTTCAGGCACATTCTTTTCACTCGTTCTCTACATAAATAAATCTTCGTCTCTCTGCAAATATGTTTCACGACAACAGCATATATATCAGGTCTCAAGGGGACAGGTCTGCCAGTTTTCAATCTACACGACACGCACAACGAGAATATCGTTATCATGACGACTCCATCATTCCACCGAATTTCATTGATTACTCATCCGAGTCGTCAACATTTCACAATCTTGCGCAAACATTTAAGCAGGTGGAAGCTACATCGCGGCAGGTTCCATCCAACATTGCCTTAGATGCTTTGGAGACATCATACCTAGGGATCTCGCGATCTATGAGCCATCATACGGAGGATGACCGGTAAACATCAGTCGCCAATTTATTTGACCTGGTCACTTGGATGAGCTAGGAATGAATCGCCAACACCAACCAAAAAGAACTAAAAGGGAAAAAAAAATGTCTTCTTTACGACTGCACTTTGTGCCTCAATGGACTTCTCGCGGCGCTGGTTATTGGAACCAAGCAGTCAATGTTATCTTGCCGTCAGCCCGCGTCTGAAGAGGGTATTGCATCCTTACAAATGCTTACCGTTCTATCCGTCCATTCTTGATCTGAATTTCTTTCTCATGGGTGAGTCCAAATGTCAGCTCATTCAGACAGGAACACTGACAAGGCCACAGTTTTCGTCAGTCTCATTGCCAACGGTATGCAACTTTCATCAGAAGGAGAAAACAAAATTGATAGTAATACCAGAAAAGAAGAAAAAAAGAGCCATGTTTTCGACGGCAGGGTGAGCAGAAACGCAATGACTTTCCATTCCATGAAAGCCTTCGCGGCGACTAACCAAACCACGAAGTTGGGAATATGCCAGCGGCACGTTCCGACTTGATATGGGCAAATCGTCATCCGAGTCTGTTTCTGCAAGGTTGAGCATGTAAATTCTTGTTCTCGTGCATATGCATATTTACGCATTGTTGCCAAAAAAGACCAATATACACGCCATGGCCATGAAGCTCTCACACAGCCTTTGCAGGGTATTGATCTGAAGGGGAGGCAAAATGCAGCATATACTGGTTTGCCTTGGAATCACGACGAGTTTGTATCGACGAGGGGCTTTCGGCACAGTAGATACCTAGGGTAGATATTCATAGGTAGAAAGTCAATCTGCAACTTTCGGTACCACGGTTTTATGCTGCCAGATTACAACGTGACAGGCGTGAATACATGGGTGTTTCTTTTACAAATCAATCCTGCTTGCGATGGCTGCTGGCTGCAATTAATTAAGTCTGGGATGAATCAATTGATTTCTCTGGTCTATAGACTAAGCCCTGTTGGGTAGTAGCTCAGTATTTTCTCTTCTATGATGGCGGGTTGGCGGGGTAGTTTCCAAGGGAGGCGGGCAAAGCATCAGCTGTTATGTCATAGCCTGTTTAGAATGAAGGTCTCATGAGCTGCACTGCTTCGAGGTTGGGCATTGTCTTCTGTGCCGATTATCCAGCCAAGTGCAGCCTGTTCTAGTGTATCGACCTACTCAGTGATTTTTCTCCCTTTTCCACGTTGTTCTTCATTTTTTTCTCCTCCTCGCATCGCTCCAAAAATTACTTATTTGACTACTCTGCTGAGTTCGATTCGCTATCTCATTAGTCCTAGAATACAAGACGAGATTACCCCACCAAGAGCCCCTTTGGGCTGTCAGCACGAGGCAGGAGCTTCGTGTAGGAACAAACATACGACTCTCCTTCTGAGAAAATATAGAGACAGACTATTCGCAGGTCGCCTGCCCAAGAACATCAGCTTTCTCCCCTCCCCGCGCCTGCTGTAGACTGTAATCATGGCGTCTAGACTGGGCTTTGGCAGCTTTCTGCTTGTCCTGGGCATTATCCTGGTGCTCATGCCCGGCAAAGCGGCAGCTTTCGGAGCTGGCAACATTCCTTCGATCGCGCAGGTCGAGGGAGTCAATTGGCGACACGGCGACATTGAGGACATGCTCAAGACTCTCACCTTCTTACACGGCAAGAAGTGGACAACACTGCTCGTTCAGCGCACCTACTTTGGCAACTGGCTCCGAGACTACTCCCAGGCCGTTGATGTAGGCAGTTTGAAGGGCGTCAATGCCGCGACAATCCGCATCCTCGTCTGGGTCTTGTCGTTCCTGGCCAACGGCTACGCGACTGAGGAGTTCGAGGTTACTGAAGAGCGCCTGGGAGTTTACCGTCCCGAGGAGCATATTGACAACCCTCTTGGCTACGCCGATGGCAAGGACGCGCGAGAGTTCGATAAGCGACTGCGCGGCCCCGTGTCACCTGCAGAAACTGAGATTGACCCGCGCACTGGTATGAAGAACTACATTGCCAATGAGTCTGGCGGCTGGGCTACCAGTGCCGGTTATCTTCGTTTCAGCTTTGCGCGATCAATACATTACGGCAGACTCTACACCAGCGGATCCTCGGGCAAGGGTAAAGAGGAGGACCTGTGCGAGGCGCTTCGATGTCTCGGCCAAGCTCTGCACTGTATGGAGGATTTCTCGGCTCATAGCAACTACTGTGAACTCGCGCTCCGCGAAATGGGTTATCACGACGTCTTCACCCACTGTGGTACACAGTCTGAGATCCACCTCAATGGCAAGCGAGTTTACCCCTTGGTGACCGGAACCTTTGGTGGCGTGGATTTCTTGCACTCTGTCCTCGGTGAAGCCAATGACCACTTTACCCAATCCGAGGTCGACGAGCTGGACATTGCTTTGAAGAATGCCGAGGCGGCCCAAAAGACGGGAGGTGGAGGTGGTACCCGCGGTTTTGGCGGCAGTAGCGGCGCCATGGACTTTATATCTCTTGTCGGTCAGTTGCCAGGCATCGGAGGCGGATTTGCATCTGAAGCCAGTAACCTGAAGCGCATGGCGGCGGAGCAAGAGCGTGAGAACGAGGTGCGCTCGCGTGGCGACTTGAGCCGGGCGAATGCCAATGCTATTCCTGGCATGAGCGCCGACTTTGATCCCGTCAAGACTGCTCAGCGGATATATCCTATACTCCAGTTCAGGGACAAAATTGTCAAGTCAATCAATAGGGGCATCGCCAAGATTCCAGGTCTAGAAAGTCTGCTGGAGCACATCAGCGAGACTCTGACGGCATTTGTCTTGGGTCTCCTTGCGCCCTTTATTCGCCCAATCATCAGCCAACTCACAAAAGTATTGAAGGATGGCTCATCAGGTGTAATCACTGCCAGTGCCAACTCTCAGCTTGAGCCCTGGAAGAATCCCAACTGCACCGACCCAACACACTCCATGCTCAGCAAGGACCATTTCACCAACATTCTCAACTCGTGTGCCGGCAGAGTCGGTGCCACGGTTTTGCAATACGTCGTTCCGTAAGTTACAAAGCTCTAGAAGATGCCACGTATAGGAACAGAACTGACTGTCAATGACTAGCCGCATTCTTTACGCTTGGGAAAACACTAGCGTGCCTGTCGAAGAGGTCGTCAACGACGTGCTGCGCGCTTTCCACCATCCAGCCATTCGAGATGAGCGCGTCGAGATCCAACGTGACATGTACAATACTGTTCGCAAGTGGGCCGATGAGTATCCTCGTCGCCACGAACTCAACCACATTCTTGGCTCGGAGAGTGTCAAGAATGGCAAGAATCACGTCCTGACCAGCGCCAGCAACAAAGGTCATTCTCACGGAGGCGGAATCTTCGACGGCGGCGTGGGTCAGCTGGGTCATGGCAAGCCTACTGGCAGTTTGTGGAGTCAACTGCAAACCAGAGATCTCGACGCCATGGGTGCCGGGTCTGGCGGCGGCGTTGGCTACATGGGAGCTAGCTCGCCGCAACCTGCACATGCACCATCTCGACCCCCAGCTGGCGAGACATTTGGTTACCAAGGTGCGGCAACCGGTGGAGAAGCCGATAGCTATCTGAACCCGCAGTCGCATTCCGGTGGCGGCGGCGGTGGCAGCTATGGCGGTCACTCCCCGCAGCCCTATGGTCAAGGCCAAGGTTATGGACAGCCGCAGCAAGGATACGGTCAGCCGCAGCAAGGATACGGTCAGCCGCAGCAAGGCTATGGTCAGCCACCTCAAGGCTACGGAGGACCGCAGTATGGCGGGCCTCCGGGACCTCAGCAGGGTTGGGGGCCGCCACCACCCGGTCAATGGGGCGGCGGCCCTCCTCCTCCTGGCCCACCCGGCGGCTACCCCGGACCAGGTTACGGCCAAGGGCCCCCTCCTCCGCAAGGAGGCTACCCACCGTACGGACAGCAGGGATACGGTGGTGGCTATGGAAGATACTAGTCGTGATGAATTTGATGAAAGAGTTCTGGCGCGGGTATAGGGGTGATCAGGTTTGCTTTTAGATATTATCCATGAGGGCGCCAAGGGAGGTTGACAAAAGTAGAGGTCTCGTGAATCAAGAAACCACATCGGATTTTACAACTTTGGTGCATAACATTTGGTAAATGTTTTTTTTTTTTTTTCTTATTTCTTTGTC